CTCTAAACCGGTGACAAGCCTGATGTGTGGCGTTGCAGGTTAGACATCCTACAGTTTTCCCTGAACTCTAAACAGTTAACCTCCCTGGAGTGGTTATTATGCCTCTTAGAAACCCAAAGCTTCAGGCAAGAAAGCAGCCACAAATGTGGCTTTTTTTTCTTGGGATTGTTTCCAGTTCTTTATTTTCATGAATATCCATCCAGACTGGGTGTAGGGCAGACTGTACAGAGACCCTTCACATATTGAACTCCTTGACAATAAACAGGCAAGGTGGCCCACGCTCTTCAAGCAGAGCTATTTTCCTGTAAGGTCGTGTTTTCCATACCAGAAGAGATCATTAGCTCACCATGTATGGTAACAGACTGCTTTGAATACCTGCATAAATGTGCTTATTCTGTAATGATGTCACTTTTAAGTTACTATGATTGAACTCTTCAGCCAAAAAGGTTTTTTCTCCAGCCTTCCAACTATTTTTGATTTTTTTTTCATATTACTCTTTTTTAACACAACCTTACTCAAATGCAAATACCTGTAAATACAGACAAAAAGTTTGTCCAGTGCTCTGCACAGTAAAAGCCTACTCACCCTAAACAGAAATTTAAGTACATGGGATTTGTCCATCACTTCTTCAGTCTTAGTTTACAACTGTCTCCCAAAACTCACCCTGCTCAAGGAGCTGAGCCCTGATCAGCAGAATCAAGAACTTTTCCCTTACTGAAGAAAATTACAGAAGATACTGAAGAAAGGGAAAGAGAAGGAAAGAAAATAGACTATTACCCTGGTAAAATGATGACAGTGCATGGGAAGGATTGACATAAAAGAGCAAAAAAAAGTAGCTTTCTTAGAAGTTAAACAGTCACGAGAAAAGCTATTTTCGCTGCCATTTGAGAAAGGGACTTCTGAATTTAAAGAATTTTGCAATAATCTGGTTATGTGATTTAAGATTAAATAGAAAGCTAAAGTATATGTTGTCACTTTTTTCTTTAATGAAATGCTACACTTAAATGTCTTCATTTGAAAATAATCTGTATGTGGGTTTTTTTAAAAATAGCATCAACTTGGTAGTTAGGGAAAAAAGGTTCACAATGTGCTTATGGCTGACTGAATCTGGAGGTTAGCTAAGATGTTATCTCTGCTTGTCAGTCCTGCACTGCTCTTGAATGCAGTCTCCACAAGACTGCTGATGCAACTCATACCTTTTTTGATTTCAGAGTTTAAAGAAAATTTGCTGGTGTATGGAATGTTTTGTTAAAGGAAGAAATTGAGAATACAAGTGCATGTTTTTATTTATTAAGAAAAGCATAGAACTGTATTTCCTCACATACAAAGAATCAAAGAATCTGAGATGGTTACTTTTATCATAATCCCAGGCCTCTTCTGGCTTTCAGTTTTTTTTCTGTGTTGTTTCTCAGGATCAAACTGTTAGTGCCCCTGCCCTGCCTTCTTCATCTCCCCTTGTCATAATGTCCCTGCTTCACCTTGCTGCCTGTACTTTTTTACACACCTGTTTTGAGGACAATGATTGCCCAGTTTTGGTGGAGACTCATATTGCTGTAGGTACCTAATTGCTGTAGGTACCTAATTGCTGTAGGTACCTAATTCCACAAAGCAGCTCTACAGCTGTTTATAACTATTTTGAATTAAGGTTTACGTCAAAACATTGAATGCAAACTCTAACTTCAGGAACACCCTCTACAAGCAATTTTCACAAATAACCCATGCCTCAGGGCATTATTTTGAGGCACCACAATTTTACTTTCAAAAAGCAGGTCCCACATGTATTTCTGCATGGGCAATTCACAAACTGAGTGGCAGGTTTATTTGGGCCATAATACACCAAATAGCACTTTTCAAGCACATCAGAGTAACTGACTACAATTCATCCAGGCTATTACTAACTCCTACCTGCCCTTGTTTCCAGAAGCCCTGAGAAAATAGCAAAGGAAAAGGCAACTATTGCAGGTGAACATCGTGGCTGATCTGCACTACTGTATCACTGCTGCATCATAAATTCAGTGCTTTAATGAGCTCTCACCTCCCATCCAAAGCACATGAAGCCAGCTAATACATGTCAATGCCAGCCAATCTAGGAAGGGCAGCTTCAGGCCATGCTCAGACAACTTACTTGGCACACCACCAGAGCAAAGGAGCAACTTTCAAGCAAGCCTCATTTGAATTGCTGACAGGATTTTCCATCATCTTCATTTACACCCCTTGAAAGAGTGTTTGGTTAAGACATTTTAAAGGAAAATTGGCAATACATCCCTTGTGTCCGTAAATTAATTGTTTGAGCATGACAGAAATTCACGTTGAAGAAAAGTCACTACTAAACTAGCAGAGGACACATATAAATCACCTGTAAATTAAAGCATAGAATGACAGAAAGTGAGAATGAAATCCATTTCCTTAACCAAGAAGCAGTGCCACAGAGCCAGGAGAACTTGAGCCAAGCCGAACTTCCATTGCAATTTACCATGGAGTATTTACAAGGTGGAAATACAAAGGTTATGGCTACGGGACTTTTCAGAGCAGTAATTTCTCAGAGAAACTGATCATGAAACAAAAACCTCTTTCTTAATTACTTTAAATTCTTTTTTTTTTTTCTGTGTAATATTATTTAGGTCACCTGAGTATATTAAAACAGTCAAAGATTTACAGTCAGATGCAATTACATAAAACTTTCCAAGGGATTTCCAGGTGTTTTCTGGAATTGATGCATAGCATAAGGATAGCTGTCTAGAGTTGTGTACATCATAGCATTTTTATACATGTTTGCATTTTAAACGTGGTCTATATAAAATACAGGCATCTCAGATTTAACTTGCATGCTATTTTACAAGGGAATAAGCCCAGAAGTTCCAGTTATCTGATAGTTTGGACATTGAATTTGGAAAAATGTTATTGCTTTAATTCCAGACTAACGTGTTCCATAGTCAAAAACAGGGCAGAGGCATTGTCTAATTTTTTTCTTTTAGAGTATGATTTTTTTTTTTTTTTTTTTTTTTTTGCTTATGGGCGCAATAATGAGCTTTACCAGGTGTCTTGAGTTCCTTTAGCCATGGTGGGAGATGCAATATGCATTCTTCTGTGGGTTCCAGCCTAAGGATTATTTTGTAGTTGAACAGGGTCTTACCCTCGGGTGGCCCTTGGTTGAACTTTATTTTGGAAGTGAACCAGCATATTTTCCAGTATTGGGATAGATGAGGTCGAAGCAGTTTTCCTTCTCCAATTGCTACACAGATAGCTAAAGCACAGCCACTGTGATTAGGATGAGATATTACAACAAGGATAGAGTGGCTCCTTCACTCTCCAAGAGTGCACAGTGTTAATAAAATCAGTCTTGCATATCTTACATGTTCAATATCTCCTTGCTGGCCCTCTGCATCTTTCTGGTGCCATCAATCAGAGGAACACTGTCTCCAATATGAAGGAAGAAGCTTTCTGAAAACTCAGACTCAAGGAAACTTATTTTACTTTCCCACAGGTGCTTGCAAGTGGCTAAGGCTGTTTTCAAGATGTTCATACATTTTCTGGATGTCAATTAAAAAAAAAAAAAGAATGCTTTTGAGGCTTCATTCTTTGTGTTTTTCAAATCCTGACCTTAACAAGTATCTCTTCTGTGATTATGGAGATTTTTTAAGCCAGGAAACAAAATATTGTATTTTTAGATACATCATTGTATCACAGATACCTAACAGGTCTTAGTCTTGGGGAAAAAATTAAATTATTCCCTTTCTCTTAAAGCATTTTTTGCGGAAACTTAAACTCAGCAGGTAAACCAAGCAAAGTGTGCAGGCCATTATAAAATATGGCCAAAGGGCCTTTTATATTATTACCTATCATGTGCGTCTTTTCCTTGTTATTATCCCATCATTAAACTATCCTCATGAGAGCTCTAAATTTGTGTCACCCAATGCAACAAACTCTTGTTGTGACAAAGTTTCCTCACGTTCCCATGGTCCATTCCTCTCGAGACAGCACAACTTAGGTGATACTGCTTGTGGATGCCCACGGGTTCAGAAAACAACTGCCTTCTTGCAGACGTTTGTGCCAGAAGGCAAACACAGCACTAAGTATCATCACCATGAGAACAACAGCAAGTGCGTTGGAAAAGAGGAAGGAGGAAGTCAAGCAACAGAGAAGGAAATACGAGGATTGTAAGAGGGAGGAATGGGCCTGCAGCACTCACCACCACAGTTTCGGTGTGAGGAGCTGTCTCCTTTCCAAATGCCACACAGAATCTGTTATTTTGTATCTGGCAGAGGCTGTGAAATCATACTTCTGCAACAATATATTTAAGAGAAATACAACAAACTGGTAACTGAACAGGTGACAAGGTTAGATGGACAACACCAGCCTTCATATTGCATTGTATCTTATCGGGTGCCCATGGGCAGAGACCTTTGTTAAAACAGGCCTTAAAAAGCTTTCAAAACAAAATATCCAAACCAGATCACCACAAAGGTGCATATGTTTTTAACAGTTTCCACAGAGGGCATCATCCTGAAGTTTGCCAGAGAAAGCTGAAGGAGGGTCTTGCATGGAGCACAGAGATCAGGTATGCTGGGGAAGGGAAGCAGCTCCCGGTGTCTGTGTGTGTGCAGTGAGACACCTGCCAGCTCTTCACAAACAAACCTTGTGTTCAGGGAGCTCACTTCAAAGAACTACTTTAAATGCTGAAAGAATTACATCGATTTTATAAAAACAAACTTGCATATGTCTCAGAAAGAGTTGTCTAGGTGCCTGCCTCATACTGAAATCTTTAGAGCATAACAACAGTTACGTGCGTTGCCATATTTACCGGTTATCCCAGATTCCTAAATCCACTGCTTTGGCTGGAGTCCTGGCCGGCTCCTGGGGGCGGACAGCTCCGTGCCGGGAGCGGGGCTGAGGGGGCAGGGGGGAGATCCCGCCCCAGTGTCCGTCCCGGTGCCTCGGGAAAGCACCCGGCGCTGCCTGGCCGTGCGGTGGAAGGGGGAGCGGGCAAGAAGGGCGTGGGGTCACAAAGGAGCAACAGGAGAGGAAGAAGCGCTACCGGGGCGGGGGCCGGGGCGGCTCGGCCGCCCGACGGGCGGTGGCCGCCGGCGGGAGTGGCGGAGCGGCCTGAGGGGTCGCGCCTGAGGGTTCCCGCGCGCGGCCGCCGGCGTCCCGGCGCTGTCCGGGCCCGCGGCGGCGGCTGCGGGGCGTGGGGCGGCGGCCGGGCCCTCGCCGCGGGGCAGGACAGAGCGGGCCGCCCGGCGGAACTCCTCGCTGCGCCACGTGTAGAGCAGCGGGTTGAGGGCCGAGAGCGAGCAGAGCAGCAGCCAGCTGGCGGCCTGCAGCGCCGGCGGCGCCGGGCGCAGGAAGAAGCCCAGGAGGCTCACCCAGACCAGGGGCTGGGTGCCCAGCAGGAACACGCAGCAGAGCAGCAGGACGGAGACGCTGCTGAGGCGGCGCTGGGCGCGGCGAGGCGGCGGCGGCGCGGCGGGGAAGGGCAGCTGGTGCAGCAGGTGGAAGTTGAGGACGCTGACCCGCTTGGCGCTGCCCCGCACCCGCCGCACGATGCCGAGGTAGCAGTGGAGCAGCAGCGCGGTCTGGCCCAGCACGGCCAGGGCGAGGAGCAGGGCGGTGTAGCGAGAGCTGCCGTCCGACTGGGCTGAGCCCAGGGTCCAGAGCCCGGGCAGCAGCGGGACCGGGAGCAGGGCGAGGGCCCAGGAGAGCCCGATCATGCAGCCCGTGTGCCTCCGCTGATAGAGGGCCTGGTATACGCTGGGCAGCTTGGTGATGAGCACGTACCTGTTGAAAGCCACCAGCAGGTGCGAGGCCAGGGAGACGGTGAGGCCGAGGCCCAGGAGCCCCCCCCGGAGCAGCCGGTACTCCGCCGAGCGAAGGGAGGAGGAATTGGGGGGCAGCAGCCCCAGCACAGCCTCCTGGGGCATCCACAGGGCACACACGCTCAGGTCAGCTGCACAGCCGTTCACGATGAAGGCATTGCTGGTTGTCTGCAGCTTCTTGAAGGAGAAGACTAAATAGATGACCATCACATTGGATAAAGTCCCTGAGATAGCCAAGACTGCGTAGAGCAGCGACAGAAAGATGCGGGTCCCAGAGGAGTCCTCCCAGAGCAGCAGCAGAGGCGAGCTAGCACTCCAGGAAGAGGCGTTGGGCATCTCGCTGAATGCAGCTCAGTTTTGACTTTGCCCTGTAAATCCCATCCTTGTCTGGGTCAGAAGTTCTGCTGCAGGAGTCCTCACCAAGCACGTGGGAGGCTGTGCAGCTGAAGGACTCTAAGGCAGGTTTCAGTCATACAAGCTGTAAGGTCCAGAAAATGCTGTTTGCAGTAAGGATCCAAAAACCAGCAGTGTCCAAGGCAGGTAGGCAGCAATAGAGTCCACAGATTGTAGCTGGTGAAGGTGGGTCCATAGGGAGGCAGATGGCTGTTGGCAGACCAGAGCACGCCTGAGGTTTCTATAGCTGTGAAAACAGCAAAAGCAGCAGCACCTTGCAATCGGCAGCAGAAACGGCAGCAACTGATACAAAGCTTTGCAGTTTCTCCTGTGCCACAGTACGTACAGTGTATATCATTCCAGGAAGATTCAGCCCTTCCACTCTTCATGAATTATTCAGCAGATTTTCAACTTGTTAAATCAAGAAGGAAAAAAAAAAAAAAGCCAAACCCTATCATGCTCCAGAAATACTCCAACTACACAGTCTGACTCTTTTCTCCCTGCCTTACCAGTCTTCTGGGTCTAACCCATTTACACAACTTTCATTTGAAGCAAGGTTTTAAACCAGTCACTTCTGTCTGAAATACCATCCATAAACTGTAGAAATTCTTCTGCTCAATACTCACTTTTTAACAGATTTTTTTCTGATTTTTTTTTGTTAAGAGTAAGCTCAGTATGCTTCTGCAATTTTAGTTAATTTTAGGACTGGTCTATAATAACAATATACTTTCCAAATGAAATCTTTCAAACGAAATAAATAGACCAATCCTTGTTAGACAGTACTTATTTGAGGAAGCTGGTTCTCAATCTGAACATTTAACATCTCTTCATAAACCTCAGCCTGTTTCAACCCACAGGAAATCCTACATTGCCACCCTGCCAGAGGTGAACACTGGTGTTGGTGAGCACACAGGTAACACAGGATCTGTGTAGTATTTGAAATGGTCTCGCTCCAAAATGAGTTCCTGGAGAGGTGAATAACAGCTCCCGAGGTGGACTAAAAACAGATTGAAGAGTAGGCATTAACAGTCCATAGATGGAGAGTAATTTGTCATGGGATTATCCCAGGAACTCCACCCTGCTGTACTCAAACAGGGACAAAATGGTAACTGGCCTTAACCTGGACAAGTCTTAATAAGAAACTCAGTAAGAGGACTTACATTTACTTTGAAAAGCTTTTCAGATACGGAATGCTGGTTGACTTTGTGATGAGAGAAAAACTGCTTTTGCAGGTAGATTAGGTATAGGCTACAAAAGCAAGCAATCACAGCTTGTAAGGTATTATCTGTACCAGAGACCTTCATAAGGTGTTTTTAGATATTGTTTAACTCCTGATGCTAACATATAGCAACATCAAAAGAATGTATTAGGACGTAGTTATAGTTGCAATATACATTTTTTCAAGTTAAAAAAGTTAAATTGTGTGGGTTAATGGATGTTGCAATACAGCATATCTTTTATTTGATAAAAAAGGCTCATGTTAACAATAGGCAAAAATATTGATCCAAAGGTGTATTTGTTACAAACATGAATATCTATGTTCACTTTTAATTAATTAGATGGCTCATGTGATTAAGGTTAAAGACATACCTCAGTGATTTACTTGATCAGGCCCTTAATTACCATATTTTTTGCCTGCTGCACTTTACAGCGTAGATCTAATCAAGTGTCAAACCTTTTGAGGCCTTTCATTGTTTAGTTGTCAGTAAAGAACAGTTATTATAGAAACTAAAATCCTCCTCTTTCTGCAGTACTGTAATTGAAAAATAGTCTCTGAATTTGTAACATGAAAACCTCCCTAACTGAAAAGCTTTATAGAGCATACTTTAAAAAGAGATTATGATGATTAACTGTTTCGTAAGATGTTAGCCACAGAATATTATGCCCAGTAGAGACCTGTAGATTTATTTGATCTATCCATTCATGTTTTTAGAGATCTTGTGCACAACAGCTTGTTCTCCCAGAACCTGATATATTCATATTGGAAGGAACAGAAATGGTAAAGTTCAAGGACAAGTGAACACAGGATATAAAATAAATTTCAGGCTATTTCTTAAAAGCTACAAGGTTCTGAAAGACCTTCCTGACCTTTTACTGTTCCGAATTTTTTTGTTGTTGTTAAGAAGTTGATTGTTGCAGAATACTGACTTATTTATGAATAAAAAAAAGTTGTACCTAAGCTGGTATTTATGTATTTCATCTAATAAATCAATTAAAGTCTAGAAAAAGGCTAAGGGAGAGGTTGATTCCTATGCACTAGAAACCTTTTAATTAGCTATTTTAAATGTATATTATTTACTCTGCACATCCATCACCACCCATTATTCATCCAAATGCAGTGGCAGAAGCCTTTTGTTTTTTTAGATCAGACTGTCACGAGAATTTGGGCAACTTGGAAAGCATCCACTCTATTCCCAGCTTTTGCATTCCTTTAGAGTGGCTGTGTAACAGTTACACACAATCTACATCTATTGCAAGAGAAGCTGCCAGGCTAATAAATAATAGATAAATAATCATGTAATGCAACAAATTTGCTGAAAATCAGCAACAGGGTTAAACAAATGTTAGAACCATTTGTGATTAGTTTTAAATTGAAGGAAGGACAAAAAGCTAAATTGTTTTGACTCTTATGCACAATGAACCTTCTGTTGGTAGGACTAACCAACCTGTTGCATATGCAAAAAAGTCAAGGCATATTACACCTGTAACAAGGTGCCTCACCCAGGAAGGATTCCTCAGTTCAGACACAGCTTTGAAATCACTGTATTTTGAAATATAATGCCATCACCATGATATCAACATGTTGATTAAATACCTGGCATTGCACAAAGCATAAGCAAGAACCTTTAGAGAGACTGTTAGAAGAGATCTATCTTGCTAATGGTCTTTTGCAATGTTATCCTACTTTTAAGTACATTACATGGTTTACAAGAAAGAAGGTGACTTTGAAAAGTTATCTTCAATTAGAGATCAAATAACCAAAAGATCTAGGAAAAAAACAAGAAACAAGGAAGCTTGTTTATACAGGCATTTTATTATCAATTAGCTGCATATATATATATATATATATCTACATTTCAAAATTAATCAGTATTTTATTAAGGAAAACTATTTATAACAAAGTAAATGAAAAAATTCTTTATGAGAGGTAGAATTACCTTATTAATCTATAATTCATATACAGTATATTGTATATATACACACACATGCTACTTTGTGTGTATATTTTACATATACACAGTTGCAAAAATGTACAGTATTGCATGTAAATTTTAGTCAGTGATTTTCATTTTTATAGCTGCTCTGTGTATTGCTTTTGAACACTTTCAGTACAACTTTCCATAGCAATTTTGTGTAAAGCAAATGCAGGGTATTCACAGGTCTCCAGGAACAAAGACTGACGACTGAACTAAGTTTTATTTTCAAGTTTCTGCAGATAGTGAAAAAACAAACAGGTAACAAAGCTGTCTTGTTTTTGTCTTGCACATGAGGGGCAAATAAAACCCTCACAGTTGCTTATATTCTTTTCCTTACCATGCACTTGTGAGTTCTGAAAGTTTTACACATGATCTTTAGTACCTCCCTGTAACACCATTTCATCCTAAGCTTCCTTCCTAACCACATCTGACTGACCTGTACATTCCACAGAGTAAAGAGCATCTTTACTATGACAAAAACCTTCCATGATACAGGAGGCTACCTCAGCCATGTGATTAACAACAAATGTACAGGTTTATGAAGCATCCAACTGATAGATAAAAATTTAATGTATGTCCAACATATACTGTGTGTTGCTAAGGAAACTGTACACATACTGCCAAATGTAGGTTAAAAGCATGCAAGTATGCAGTGCTACCTAATTCATTGTACATTTTTACCAACTTCAGTTTGGTCTGCCTTCATTTTTGCAGCATATATTGCATAGCAGAAGTTAACGCTCTACATTGAAAACAAAACATAAATCCTTTAAGAAATTGAAAGAGCGTTAATTGTACAATTGAGTCATCACATAAATTACTTCTTTGTTGCAGCAGAACATGTAATTACATCACATCTCAACAAATATTTTCCCTTTATTTTTCTTTCATTGTGTTTCCTTAAGAAATGTTAGCAGCCAGAAATGGAAAGCAGACTATGTATCAAGTGCTTTTCGTTGATATTGTAATAACAAATCTCTCACTAGTTAGACTTCCATCAAATTAACAGAAGACCAATTAGTAAAAAATTATATTACATTAGGCTCTAAGCAATAATGATGGACCCATAAAACAAGAAAAAGCTCTTGTTCATAAAAAAAATTGTATCTTTGATAAACATGTACAAATTCTTTAAAATACACATTTTTGTAGCAAAGTAGACCCTAAATTAAAATATATTCTAGTTTTTACATAATTTTTATATATAGTTTACCAAAATATTCTCTTAATACATATTTTAACACTGTACACATGTTAATAAATGTCTTAATGAAACTCATTAGAAATATATTCAAGCTGTCTCAACATAAAAAATTTAAATCTGTATATAACATGGGGTAGTAATTTCCATAAATTCAACTTCAGTGCATCTGCAGTAGTCATTAACAATAAATTTCTGCCTGTTAAGAAGTCTCCTCTTGGTGTTAAGAAATTAATACATCCTTGTATTGAAGGTTCCTCCTTTTAATGAGCAGCTTCTTTTCTTCAGTTCTTCTCCATCATGAAGGGCATTGATTTTGAAGAGCTCAGCAGGTTTCACCAAAGCAGCAAGGCTTTAGTACTGAACATACCCAGACTGAAGGGACTGCGCAGAGAAGAAAAACTGGTTAAAACTCACTGGAGAGGCTTTATTTATATATATAACATATATTCTTCATTTAAAGAGTAGAGGAAGGACAGAAATGAGGAAAATAAACAGAGTTGGGAGGGACCTGAATCTCTACATAGGTAAAGATGAATAAAATAAAAGAAATTAAAGTCTGAGCAAAGTCCATCAGCTTTGCCGTATCTACGCTTCTCCAAAGCAGTTTCTTGAGAATTTTAATAAAAGTGTTACAAATCTTTTAAAATACCACTGCTACTGTAATTGAATTGTTTCCATTTATCCTGAATGAGAATCCAACTGCTACTGTGAAAGTCAGCTTACTTTAGATGTTGATTCAGATAATGATATAGGAAACACACGATGTAGTTCATTATTGAGGAAAAAGCTACATCAGTAATTACACAGATGCATACGTTTATGTATGACTACCAAAACCAGATGAAAATAAAGCACTGCAAATGGTTCCTCTGGATTAGTAAGAGGTCAGTATAATTAAGAGAAAATCACAACCTGCTCTATTGTATTTATTTACATTTCTGTTTCTACTGAAGTCTGAAGTTTTATTAAAAACTGAATAATCAGCTTAGACAGTATCCAGTCATTTTAGTAGCTCCTATACAGATGTGTTTAAGAAGTCATTCTGATGAATATAAGTCTTGTTTGGTGATGAGGTGTCCCAAATTAGTACTAGTTTATAAATAAAGAGCAAGTAAAACTCCCAAACGTATTTTAAAACTGCATCAATTCTTCAGAATTAGAGAGAACTACTGGAGACCAACATGACTCCTAAGACAGACTAGACCCTCACAGTTTTCCCTTCCATTTTCCTCCTATTCTTAACTAGTCATTACAGAAAATGCACTTTGGCACCCATAATGAAACCCATTAGTACAAGTGCATAATACATTTATATATACCTTTATAGCTCTAACTAATATGCCACAACTACTTCCCCCCTATATTTTAAGTCTCAGTATATATTTTCAAAGTTGTCTTTTAAATGGATTTTCGCATCTTGAAGATTTGAGACCATCTAGATATTTTTTCCAGGTAGAAAAAGTGCTGTCAGCATATAGATTTGAATACCACTGACTTAAAAAGGTCTGGTTTTAGTAAGAGCAAGGCAGAAGGAATAGCCCTTCATTAATGAGCACTTGAAACTTCTCCTCTCTTAATGATCCTCAAAGGCTTCTCATTTTCAGAAGTGCATTTTAACAACTGGAAAGACTGTTACACTTAATTAGTGCAGTATTCAAAATGGATCCATCAAAATAGAATCCCAAGTAAAGCTGATTAACAAACACTTCAAAAAGGCAAGAAGTGTGGTTATATACTCTCATATGTTGCACAGTAATAGGTTACTTTATGCTTGGACAGATGAAAGATGACCAGAAAGCACTTTACACTCTCAAAACCAGCAAGTGTTAGTTACAAAGAACTGAGAACACCAGCCCTTCACTCAGCAGACAGTAGTAACCAGAAATTCTACATCATTATTTCAATAAAAGCAGCAAACCATAAATTAAAGATTCTGAAGTTTAAACTGCAATTCTTAAAATTGTTAGCCATCCAGGTTACAAAAAATATGGGGAAAAAAAAACATCAAGAAAACACAAAAACCCCCCCCCAATAACCAGCAGCATATACTGTTTGGAAACAGGAGAGCATGGCTTTGGTAATTTTCCTTACAGATGGGTAGGCACAGTTTGTTTACTTTCAAATGGAGAAATATATTTTTCAGTGTGTTCCCACCCTCATCATAACCCTACTTCATATCCCTATGACTTCTTCCTAAAGTCTCAAAATCTTTTCTGAATACAGGGAAATAATTAAATCTAAACAGACTTTCTTCAGATTAATCTATGTGATTTCACATAAATTTCTATCACTACAAACATGGTGATACCTGTAACAACTGAGCTATTGCAAAGTATACAGATTCACATTTGAGTTTCAAACATTTAAATATAGCAGGAGAGGCTTGTTGTTTTGATTTTTTTTGCATTTTCACGAAAGTCATTTGTGCTCAAATCTCTTCACATGTCTAAAGAGATTGACTGTAAAATTTCAAAGCCTGTAATTGTGGGGGTTTTTTTTCTATTTTTCTTTTAAATCTTTTGAGGAGTTTTCTATTTTAAAATTTACATTTGCCATGACTCAAAGTATGGCCTGTGCTTCTGAAAGCTTCATAAGAAACAAAAAAACGCAATCCATTTTTACAAGTAATTTGCTGGATTTAACAAAATCTTATTTAAAATTGACCTAAAAATAGAAGAAAAAAAAACCCCAAAGAAAATTGACTGCTGAATTGCCAAGATGAAAGTAGAAAATCAGTTAATGCAGAAGAAATCTCAATGTGTATTCCTACAGTGATCCCATGCCATGTCAAGCTTGCCATTTTATACCCAAGTACCAGACATTTAAACAATGAACTAAAAATTAGATGGTTTCACGACAGTTAAGGATATCTAATGAAGTTTATGCTGAAACAACGGCTTAGATTACTTTCATTTTTCTTCAAGAGGAGGCACAGCAAACCTCCTGTGAGAGAAAATCAGCACCAAATCCGCTGAGGCACTAGAACTGTATTTGCCAACATGAGACTGCAGGACCAAGCCAGCCTGATTCTGAACTCTGTTTCAGGACAGAATAACCCCACAGCATTTAGGCCTGTTTGGTAGGATTGGAACATGCCCTTTCCCCAGATAACTGCAAAAATGTAACTTAAGCTTTTGGAATTGTGCATCAACTCTCCCAAAACACTGCTACAATAGGCGTGTTGCTGCAGGCAAGAACCACTGGGAATACACAAGAGCCACTAAACTAACCCAGGATGCATTAGAGAAAATGTACATGCATGTGAAGTCTGTGGGTCTGCCCAATTTACACATCAGCAAGATGCACTAGTGCTTGGTTTTTGCAAAGCCTGTCCCGTCTTCATTAATGGCAAGTTCTTATTAAGAAAAACCATGTTACAGGTAAAGATGATATATATGAATTTTAAAACACTGCCAACACGTCTCAGTTTTTTGGCAATGTTTCCATCTTGCCAGTTTCCATGACAGCTATAGAAGCAAAAGGTGACTCATTTTAAGACTACCCAGTTACATATTCTCCAATAAAAATACATTTTAAAGAGCGATATTTGGATTTAGAATTATTGTAAGAACAAAGCAAAAATCTTATAGCAGTACCTTAAGTGTGATTATAGTTGAAGAGAGTAATTCTGCAAATGTTATTGTGAGACATTCTGTTTAATCAAAACACACACTTTGTAAAATAAAATATTTATTCTATTTGACTGGAACAGCAAGTTTTCTTTTTTTTTTCTTTGAAAAATCAAGCTTTTCTTCTAGTTCATCAGCATAAACACAAAGTGGATTATAAGCTTGCACTGATGAAGGACAAATACCATTAGAGAAAAATACATGTCACACAACAATAGTTACAGTCATGGTTGTTTTTTATTCTTTCTTTTTGTTAAGTGGAATGTGGAACAGCAGTATTTATGCTGTTTCGTTGAAAAACATTGGAAAAAAAGGATCAGTGAATAACCTTCTCTTCCATACTGCAGGAAAAATTCACAAATTAGTTTAGTGAACATAAGCTAGAACTGAAAAATTGCTGTGCTAGCCATCTCAAAATGCTCCTGAACCACTCATGTTAACAAAGATAGATAAGAAAGAGTGATAAGGTGATTTTCTAAAATAAAAGTACTGCATGATTACAGCTGGTTAGCTTGATATCTAACTCAGGGAAGGGAGATTTTGGCAATTAAGAGGAAGGGAATTAATCAGTATCATTCAAGAGTCCTTTGAATGAATAAACAGAGCACCAGGACATGTAATGGACTTCTGTCAGGTACATCACCTGATGTGCTCCAATTAGAAAGAACACAAACACTGCAACAAGCCTAGGCTGGGCTGTCATGACTTCAAGTAATTTCAGCTCTAAAGCAGTGAAGTGGAAATGATTAAACAGAATTCTGTTTTTAAAAGAATTCTGGCAGAACTGGCAGTTTGATACTATTCTGTATTTCGCTGATGAGCTTCAGACCACTGGTAAATGCCACCAAAAGCAAAACAGCAACATGTCAGGGGCTGAAGTGATAAGGAAAAAACAATCTTCCTTGATGGGTTAATTGGTCCCAGAAGAAGAGGGGAGGGGAAGGAGAAAAAAAACCCCAATCAACCAACTAAAAAGAAAAAAGATGATGCTTTTCCACAGAGTTCCACATGAAAAAAAAAAAAATCCCAAATGAAACTAAAAATCCCTCCAGGAATGCAGGACATGGGACTCAAATAAAATAAACAGAAGTCACTATCATCAATGGCAGCAACTCTTTTTTTCCTGCCGTCCCCTTCAGCTCCCAGTGCATTACAGTCAATGAAAAAAAAGAAGCTATGTATTTATAAGCAGGATAGCACTGCATAGCAGCTTTCTGGACCAGAATGATTTTAAAAAACCAAAGAATTTGAACTCTTTCCAGAAGGATTTTTGAGCTAACTTAGCTTATCAAAAGAAAATCAAGTTGAGATGAGTAGCATAAGATAACTCCACAACAAGAAAATAAGACAAAGGGCTATAACACTGACATAAAGAGATACAGAAAGTTTCAGGTTAAAAGTGAAATAGTTTGAAGCATGACTGTTCACTCAGTGGGACTAATCTTTCAGAGAAATTGTGTTGCCCTCAAAATGAACCATCACTGTATTTGCCAGTGAGCTGCTCACTACCAGACAAAGAGCATTCAGAGATTAAATGATTGAAAAACCTACTCTTGCCTTAAGCCTCAGGACATCATAGTGACTGCACTCAGTCAATTGTGCATAAAATGGGTAACAATTCAGTGCACTCCTCTGAGACAGAGAGATGCACAGGGATACAGGGTACATTTAGAAGCAAATACATTTATCAGAAAATATATGTTTTCATATCTGAAAAGCATTCCAAACACGAACACTTTTTGGCCATTATTATACTGAAAGAGTATGACTTCACAGGTAAATCAGAAATTTGTACTTTGCTTTGTAGACTCTGCATGGCATGACTCTTTCTAAAAAATGCTGCTTCTCACATCACAGCACATAATATATAAAATAGAGTATTTTTAGATCACCTCATTTTTCAGAGAAGACTGAAGATAGAATCTTGTTTAAAAATTTTGCTGCATTTGACTGTGTATAACCTTTACTCCTCAAGAGCATGCAATATCAAGCCAAGAATTATTCACAGGTTATATCCTTTATATCCCTTATAGCCTTCCATGCATTAAGTCATTAGATAGGCAGGAAGAAAAGTAAAGATGTTCCTATAACTGGAGAATAGTGCATTTTAGAGAGTTTTTTTTTTCTTTAAAACGGCTTTCCATTCAACATAAAACTTAACATTATGCTTAAGATATTTCATTAAATTAATGGTTTGAGTCACTTAACAGTTCTGCTGCAGAGAGACAACAATTCATTTCCTTCTTCACTGCAATGCACAGAGCTGTAAGCACCTCTCAGCAGCCAACATGGCTATTTCACCTGTTCATGAATTGCTCCTTTCTTCTTCCTTAAATGACACAGTAACCAACATTCCTTGTTTTTCTCCCTTTTCCTAAGTCACCCGAATTTAATAAAGAAAGCCATGCTACAATTCTGGAAATTACATTGTAAACCACCCCATCTCCCCACACAGATTTGGGGAATTTTTGTGTCAATGCCAACTATGTTGCACCTTGAGGGTTTATGAGATGGAGAAGCACAGCACTATCCCACAATTTTGTAACTACCTAGATACAAAAGAAATCTGAAGTGACACCAAGACTTAATTTCCTGTCCTATGCTTATGGAACAAACCCACTAACTTGGCTTTCACTGTAAAAAATCATTTGTAGCATTAAGTTGACAATTACCTCTCCAAAGGAGGTGACAGTTGTTAGCTTTTAAGATGTTATATTTCAGCCTTTAAATTGCTTGAGGAAAACAGGCTTACTGTTTCTGTAATGCTTTACATTATCATTTGGTACCCTTGTAAATTCTGGCCTATTGTGAATGATGTCAGCTTATTTTCATGACTAAGCCATATTACAGTTACAAGGAGTTTCTTCCCATTAGGATGCTGCATGTAAGTTTACATGCATATGCTTTATGCATAATGTAAGTAAAATATGGAAAAAAACTCTCTAAAAATGCTGCTGGCAGCATATATTTTACAAAAGAAACAACTGAAAAGAATGGGAATGGGCTGACTCTCCAAATAATTATTGTTCAATGCATTAAATATGAGACAGTATTGAAAGTGAGACATTAAAAAATAAAATCAACCAATTTACCACTTATTATTCACATTAGTGATTGCTCTCACCCACTGGTGGTATACTGACTTTTAGTTCCAGTACACTCAACAGGAGCAGAGGACTGAACTCCTGAGGACTGAATTTTTGTAAGCATATTGGATTGAAGACTAGGAACAACTAAAAAGGATTACTTTCCAGAGCAAACAATGCATGAACAAATGAAAGACTCATCAATGTATCTCAAACATTCTTTCCTAGCTTGATATACAGCTTTTCACCACTTTCTTCATCTCTATGCCTGAAGAAATTAAACCGAATTAATTAAACAAGAATAGTCCTCTTGTTCTAGAACTTGTTTCATCATAGAAAAACTGTTACAGTTTCTATATCTCACTTGAAAAATCTCAGTTATATATAGTTTATTACTATCCCATGTAGCAGGGAAAAACAGTGAAATTAAAGAGGTGAACATGTGACAACATTCAAGAACTCCCTTGCAAACAAGTTACCGCTGCTATTTAAAGTAAAGTTTAAACTCAATTTTAAACTCGGGGCAGAACAGTGATTCTAAGATCATGGAATATCAGCATTTATTTCCAGATAAACTGTAGTGAATAAGAAGCTAAAATTCTTTTTTTAAACAAGGAGTCTGAAAGCATCAAGTATTCTGAAGGGCTGCTTTAGTCAAGCAGAATCTACCACAGAAGGAAGAACCCACTGAGTTAGAGAATACAGAATCACGTTCCCTCAACTAACTTCAATGTTCTGTTTATACAGATTACATTTCAGTCACACATGCAATTTAATTCCACAATGGAACAATGAGATTTTATTTCCTACTGTCATCTATCCTCAGAAATAGCAATTCATACTCCCAAGCTACAGAGATGTGGCTTCTGAACTGTGAGCGGTGCCACAACCGAGCTGCTAACAAGAGGGTAGGTCCTCCACTTCTGCAGGAAGAAAAGAACACAGCCCATGAATGACCTTTGGCAGGACATCCTCGTTACATCAATGTATGTTATTAGCTGTTTCAAGACAGACTCACCACACCCAAAACCACTAGCAGGTATAACACCAGAACTTTCTTTATATGAAACAATTTATCAGTGCTAAGGAAACAGAAGAGCGATGTGCAATACTCTGGAGTTAATTTTACACAAAGACAATTTTATTTCCACCCAGTAAAAAAAATAAAAATCATAAGTGTCAGAGCTAGTTTAGAGAGGCTGACAGGCTCCCTTAATCATAGGCAAAATCTATTAAAAATAGTGTACTATTTTTTATAATTAGTAGGCTATCAAATCCTTGGAAATCGGGTATTTTAAATTAGTTTTAGATTTATAGTAGTAGATATGATTATTTTTCCCCTAGAATAGATGAAGCTGTTTCTGATTTCAGAACTGAAGCTTCTCTAGTCTCCTCTACATTTTGTATAGAAACACTTTCAAGTTGCATTAGTTTATCTGTGCATCCTCTTTACACAGACTCTTTCACAAAGAAAAAGAGCACAAAATAAACCCAAGGCAGCAAAGTTGTTAAGGAATGAAAGCTGCAATGTGAGACCATCAGAAATATCTTGCTTATAATACTTTCTGCATTTGGTGTTAGAAAAGAAGTAGGTTTCAAGTCAAGAGCACTAATTGTTCAAATAAGCCCTATTGTTAAGGATGTTCTACCTTCTGTTTACTAAGATACACACAAAGGCTTCTTAAAATCTGTTACTGCACAAAAATGAAGACATAATTAACTTACAGACTGTGTTATGGATAATTTGAAATAAAATCTAAAGGGTAAGAAGGTCCATAAAAAAAGTTATCAGAAAAGATGTAAAGTTCAGGCACAATTTATGTTCCTGAAGCTTCCATGTAACAGATGCTTAGAAGAGATGGGAAAAAAAACAGCTGAAATGAAAGGTAACAGACAAAAGTGCTGTTCAGAAACATTAGAGGAAGCTGGAGAATTATGCTGAGTTAAGGGTTTTTTTTGCAACAGTTTTGCTCACAGAAGCAAGGAAGAAAAGCATCAGTGAGCTGCCTGAAAGTGCTGTTGTGACTATGACTTACAGGAATGGCCTCTGGTATGGTGCTGGAGGAGCTGTAAGGCCCATAAAGGAAGGCTGGTGCATACTCATCTGTCACGGCGCTGGGAAAACTGCTTGGGCTGCTCAGGCTGTTGCCACTACTGCTGTTTCTGTTGTACAAGTTGTTGTTCAGTTCATGGTTTACTCTGTGTGGCAGCTGCAAGCTGCCATTCAGGTGACTGGAGATATGGCTTACAGAAAAACCTGTCCTAGAGGACGATGATGTCATTTTGCTCTCATCACCATCTGAAGCAGCATACAGGTTCCCTAGAGAACTGGCTAGTCTGGAGTTTATGGAAACGCTGAATGGAAAACACACGCAGGGAAAAAAATATTCACAAGGTATGTAGAGATAAATACAAAAATGTAACAGACAATTCAGAAGACATTAGGTGAATAACACAGACCATTCTGAAATAATGTGTTTGCACACAGGCTCATTTCTAGCTCCTAAGTAACAAAAAGCAGAATTCTTTGTAAGGACTTTCCAAGTTTCGCTTTTTCAAGCACCATGACCAGCTTTCACCTCTGTCAAACCATACATGCATGCAGGAGATGGTATTAAAAGGTTTAGGCAGTATCTGATTTACACTGAAGTAGTTTGTGTACATGGAACAGTTTAAGAACCCTTCTCTGTTTCTTGCTATCAGTTTTGTGATACAAGCCTTCAAGTAACCAAGGAGTAATATGACAAAATTTGAGACTAGAAATAGGATGTCCTGAAATACTCCAAGCTGGTTATTCTGTTCAGGCAAATATTTGTGCACTTATTTATTAAAAATGCATCAATCATTCCGAGTGTCATTTAATATATATAATTACTTAGGACAATAGTTATAATGGAGCTAAATAGCAATAAATCAAGGGTTCAAGAAAAAATTAATTACCACTCCATATTCTGAGAGTAATTGTATACATACTGGGAATATCTACAAAACATCTATAAACTGAGATAAGTGAAAGAAACCTTGACAACCCACTTGAACAAGACAGTAGTTTTTCTGATGACACAATCTGTATAAAACTCTCAGACCAGAAGGATAGATTTTGGGTTTTGCTTGTTTTTTAAATCTGTAGGCAACTAAAGTTTGGCTAGTGGAACAGCAAATCACTGCAAATAAATTTAAGTCTTCTTATAGCCAAGAAGAGCAAGCACTTCATAGGCTGCAGATGTGCTGACAACCACTGTAGGATACTGCAAGCATTTGTACCAAAATAAGAAAAAGAAAAAAACCTTTTAAGGTTAGAGCCTGGGGACGTGGAAATTCTGCTTATTCTTTCTGCAGACGGTGAAGTGACTGCCATCACTCTGGAGGCCTTCAGAGGAGATATGGATCCTTCTGTGCTACCTGAAGTATTCAGTCTAAAAAGAGTGCAGAGTTCCAGTGAGAAGCAAGATTTTATAATTAAAATGTACATCTCCAACATCAGTACACAGATTGGTATTTTAAAAAGTGTGAATTCTCAAGTCTCAGAAGCCAACAGCAAAAGCTCAAGTTTGCCTGCTTAAACATTTTTTAAAAAAACTTTCCAGTTATCCACTCCAAGTATTTGCCCTGCTGCACCTTATTAAAAAGTTACAAACTACTTTTCACCTTGATAGTTTATGAAGGCCAAGTGTCCACTTTTTATAGATTTATTTTAAGTTTTATCATAAATTTTAGAACTCTAAATGTAAACTTCATTAAGAGTACTTTTTGAGCTTATAGAGCAAGTATGAGTACAAAAACCCAAAACTGTAGCTTTCATGAGGTGAGCATTATTTCCAAATGAAAATTTTCACAAAGCTGCACAGAATATGCAGCTCTTCTCAGGGTGGGATGCTTAATGACAAAATCCTTTATGTGTTGATAATGTATGCATGTTACACTGGACTACTCAAATTGTTACTATTACAGCTACCCACATTAATTAATTAAAAAAATTCGTTGTCTCTAGCCCTAGATCAGGGGATATAGCAATCAGACCTTAAAGGATGAAAAAACTTGGGTACAGATCTCCAATTACAAGCACAAAAGGAAAATTACATTGAGCAGCTTTAATTACACACCAGGACAGGGTAAAACATTCATTTCCAATGCTAGCCATCTGGAGAAATCCAACTGAAAAATTCAGGTCACAATACTGAAAAAAATGTGCTCTTTTCACATTAATGCTTGATAATGATAGAAATTTTGTCTTACATACTGTATTTTAGATTCAGTGGGGTAAGGCATGCAATTTGCAGGTGTTTAAAAAGGTTTGTTACCTTTTAGCCTATGCTCAGAAGTCTGATCACATCAATTGATTAGCAATGATCCAAACCACTGAAAATTAAGACCCTAGTCAAGTGATATACATTTAGAACTAGAATTTTAAAGTTAGTACCTGAAGTGTTGTGATATTGACCTGGTGTTCAGTTTCATGTCTTGCAGCCTAAAGAAACAAAAGCAGCAGTCTTTATCCAAGCATCAAAAACCTTTCCCCTTTGCCAAATCATATCTGTGTGTCTCAGGTTGGCTTAAAATATAAAAATAAGGGTTAGAATTATTGACAATCAATCTTTTAATTTACAGTAAAAGAACAGAGAGTTACTTCAGGTTTCATTTCCAAGTTCACATTTTTATTGGTTCTAAAAAATTCTAAATTTCTGTAAGGAGTACAGAAGAGTAATCATAGAAAGAGAACTAAGTTTGATTAAGAATATTTTCTTCAAGTTGTAAGTTCTAAAATACTAGATATAAATTTGAAAATGTTGAAGTATTTTTTACATTATCTTTTACTGCTACACAGTAAGAAGGCATCCCTAAACAGGGAGGCAGAGGGCAAAAAAGGAGAGAAGAAAAAGATTAACAAACCAAATCTGCAACTAATAGATACATATCTGGAGAAGCTTCCACCACAGAAGGTGGTACAGGTAGTAGCACTGCCTTAAACATGGTCATGTACTTGACGTGGATCGGATAGCACGGACAGAATTTAAAACTGTAAATTACCTCAGACTCGTATAATTACCTCAGAGCTCCAGTTGTAGCAGAACAAGGCTGCCTACGACTTTTTAAGGCATTCAGCTTATCTCCCTGTGTTATCCCATTCTGAGCTTCCACATCTTTGTCTTCAGAATCATTCTGGGAAACAAAAGCATGCAAGCAAGGGAATCCATCAAATCCTAGGAGCAGTGTAGTTGAAGAGCACTGAGTGTCTCCCTTCCCAAAGATCAGAACCCAGAAGGCTGCTCTAGTGTCTTCTGCACACATGGCACTACTCTTTGCACAGTTCAGGTACATCAAATGTGTCTCTGTACAAACACGCTCACACAGGGCTTTTGCAGAACCTGACCTCAAAGTTCACAATGCTCAAGCCTAATGCCAGCATTTATTTACCTCTAGAAGTCTGCTGGAGATCTATACACACCTGCATTCTTATTACTTAAAAACTTGGAATACGCAGATTCTTGGTTTCCAGGAGGAAAGCTTTTTGTTTCCCTTCATTCTCAAGAAAGCAACTGAAAATCTTGAGAGAATGATTTGAAATAATGCAAACCCTTGGAAGCTTGAAAAATTACCTATAACAATTTTAAATATTACTTGATCTTTCTTATTAAGTGGAGATTTGTTCTAAAAATATTTAGAAGTTACCTATAGCTAGTTATTAAAAGCTCAGCTTCAGTCTGTTTGAAATTTTTCCTCAGAACACTTACCTCCTTGAACTGATCCAAGTCTTGTGCTTTATTCAGACTGTCACTGATGGAAATGTCATTTAAGCCACAAAGGACTCTGTTAATGTTTCCATCAACTCCTCTCTGTATCTGCTTCGATCGGATGAGATCTCCCTCTCGCCATAACATTGCTTGCTTCCTTCAGGATACAAAACCAAAGCCACTCAGATCAACAAATTTGCACACATATAAAAAACTTTATGAAAACATGCCACGCTCACAGACTGCCACCATTTGAATCTTCTGCACATCATCATCTGGATGAGTCTGCATTATTCTTTGATAAGGAAGTTTGCTGGGTAGGTACCAGTCATACTAGTTCCATGCAAGAACTGAGACCCTATCACATACTATCCAAACAACACTGAATTCCTACACTGAACAAAGAAGAAACTAATGAGGAACTATATCAGAATACACTTTCACTGGAAACTTTTGTTTGGAAACAAAATATTATGGCAAACCTTAAGAGCTAATGGTTCTGAGCCAACTGCCTAAGCTTGCTCAATGATAAATGCAAAAGGTAAGCACTTCAGAAAGATTTCACTACATCCCTAGTAAGCATCACAAGAAGGCAGAACAAAGGGGTGAGGGGGAGAGGGAGTGCCACTTAGTCCACCTAACAGAAGTAGCCTAGGAAACATACTTGATTTTAAATACCATTGAAATCTTTCAAGATTATTGCATATGCAGTAACAAATTGATCTGAGGCGCATTTAAATGGAAGAATTTCGATTTAAAAAAGCCTTGAATTAGCCAAACATCCCTTATCAAACCTCAAAGAGCCTAGAAGATTGGGCTTTGACACCTTTGAAGCTGTGCAAGTCATTTTTAAGTATATCATCCAATCAACACTGGCTGAAGAAGAGTAATTTGGCTCCAGTGAACACCTGTAGTTGTGATTTGCAGTATTTTGAATAATACAAACTACCTCTCAAATAGAGGAAGTCCATTTAGTTGCACTGGAAAATAAATAAAACCCCTCATTCATGCTCTACTTCTCTTGAATTACAGTAATACCTCTTCCTCTCCAATATCCTATGGATTTTAGGATGCAAGGCTGGTGCATCTTTTACAGTATTTACACACTATCTAGCAGAGGTGATGAATCCTCTTTTGCCTATTTGTAGTGGAATTTCTTAAAATGTTTTGTCCCATAGAAATGAAAATGCCTCCAAGTAAATATCACCATGCCATCAACTCAAATATATCAGCATAACCACAACAATTATAAATGCACAACACAGAAACCACTATGACATTAAACTTACTGTCTGCATCACTGTCATTCATTTCCAGTCAGGATCAAATCAGAAGCTGTATTAAAACCATACATTTGTTTGCCTACAACTACTAGCTCCAAATGAGAAATGTTACATACACCATGCTGAGGAATCTGATGGAGATCATAAGCTTCCTACCAAGTACTTATTTAATCGTTAGTTACAATGAAGTAAAACCATACAAATTATACCATTTTAAGATTAATTTTAAGCGCCACAGATGGTATACAAAGTATTTAAAGACTATTCTTATGATGCTAATATTTAATAAATCCTATTTGCTGATTTCATCTTTTGTTCACATCTGTCTACTTCCAACACATTTGTCTAACTCCTAAAGCCCAGAACAGAAACATTCAGTCTTGAGGCACTGTGCCCCTCTAAGGGGACAAAATACACAGAACTCCAGAGAAGCTGACTGCTTCTGAACAACTCAGATCTCAATCCCCTATTAACTAACCTTAAGTCTATTGAACAGACAATAACTTACAAGTGTCAGTAGACAAATTAGATCCTATACACAGTGCAAGATGGACATGGATGGAGAGGAGCAAAGAAGGTACATATATATGTATACATACTCTTCCAAGAAGTGTTGCTGGGGTCCTATAATAGAGCCTGGGCGACAAATTCTTATCCAAGCAATGGCTTCAGCATGTGTGAACTTGTAGTGCTTCATGATGTAACAGGCAATCAGAGTTCCTGTTCTCCCCAGGCCAGCTACAGAAACACAAGTATCAACAGCCACATGTGAAGGGATGAGCATTCCAGAATTACCAAATAAAAGTATGGGATGTAAGAAAACTTCCATGCAATGTTATTCACCGTATTAGTATTTGAAGATGTAATTTCTGTTTCAGTGTCCTATTTATCACATAATTCAATTTCAATGCTAGATGGAGATATAGGGACAAATCTTTCATACTTCAGAAAAGTTAATGTTTAAAAGAACACTTGCAACAGTGATCACTCGTGGCACTTGAAAAATTCTACTCCAAACTTTGTTTAAAAAAAGGTCAATATTTTTTAAAAAGCCGTGATCAACTTCATATTTATGATACCAGTAAAAAACCACAATCAAAGTACCTTTGAGAGGCCAGCACAAGTACCTAAAACCCATGGTGCAAATATGTCACATATCTCAACAGAGAGCAACTCAGTGGGTGGTTCTTTTTGAATCAGTTTTGTTGTGAAACCAGCACACAAAACTATTCACTGCTATCTGTATGAACAGAAATGACTGTTGACCAGTGTATAATTTTAGATATCAACAGCTTAAAAAAATGTAACCCATTGCCCAACAAATCCCAAGCTAATCCTGTTTTTAATGGGACAACAGAGACACAGAGAAATTAGCTTTTACTATCAGTAAAATCTCAAAATACAGAGTGAGATTTAATCTCTTCCTAGCTCTGTCTCATGTACTAGTAAAGTGTTTTCCCATTTAAACCTTATTTCCCACAAATACAGTATTTGTGATTTACAGTCTCACAGTAGCCTGCTGTTGTTTATGCACCAACAACTATCCAAACAGAGACTTCCAAGCAGCCAGACATCTCTGCTGGCAATTCTATACACAACTACAAGCTCTTTACATTTAACCACTAACTCTGACTTTTTTGGAAGTGAACATGATTTAGGCAGGATGAAGGTAGAAGTTCACACATAGTGAGGGTCCATAATTGTGCACCTTGGAAGACAAGCTCTGAAAACTCATTTAAAAGGCAAAGTATTGATTTCATTTCTTTCCTCCAACATTCTGCTAATATACAAACTTCCCATTACAATCTTTTGCAATTAGCTGCTCTATCTCATCTGAGACAAGCAGTTTCTAGGGTAATAGCTGTGCTCAGAACATCTCTGCAATATAACTCGGCCTGAGTTAACTGTGGATTTAACACTGTAGTAGATTATTTAGAGTGGTATAAAAACTATAAAGAACATGATTGTTGATTTGCTTACTAAATGGTCAGACAAAAGACCAAAAATACTTCAGTGTAGAAAGTACATCACTAACTCACTACCAAGTATGTTATATTCCTTTAGCAGCTAAGCCTGGAGAATAACTTACTAACAATTTCCTGCTAATCAATGGTTTATACTCTTATTTAGCCAATTAGAGGATGCCCAGCTGATCAATGCCAAAACTTCTGGGTTCTAGCAACAATAACAACTTGTTGGAAAATAAACCTGTTTATCTTTGATATGCATATTTATTGTTCATGGGAAAATGATGAATAGTATTACTCTTGCCTCTGATCAGACAAGACATTTGTCTCCACAATGTCCTTACACAACTCTAAACATAAATCAAGCTGAACCCTTAAAAGCCTTTGTTAATCTCTCTTGACTAAGCATGTTTTGTGCATTTTCTGGCTGGTTTGCTGAATTAGGCTGGTTTGAAATGCTGGCATCACAATAACTCACATCAACTTGAAATGTGGAATTCATACTCCACAGAAAAATGTAGAACAGTCAAAAAGCACAAAGAAAACCTTTTAGTGTTTTCCATTTCCTAGCCAATTATCATAACGCTGTGAAAGCACAATGCAAAAAAGAAACCTGCATCAACTAAATCTCAAGTTTTCAAGTCATATTAAAAAAAACCCCACATAACAATGAACAACAGATTGTCAGTTCCTGCAAATAACAGTGTGGGATGTAAGGACTACATATACACAGGAAAATAACAAATATTTGGCATATATTTAGTCAAGCACCATAAAGCATTATTACTCTCATAATCCTGAAGTGTTTTTAAATGCTGTATTTCTGGGATACACTCTATGGATTTATACTTATTTTGAAGTTAAGTCTGAAATGAATAGGTGCACATACCTTTACAATGTACAGCAATGGCACCATCAGCATTTTCACAGATGTTCAGGAACCTCTGGACTATACTGTCACTTGGTGTGCTGCCATCGATGAAGAACAGATCATAATGCTCAAAACCAGCATCAGTAAAGCGTTTTGCCTCATAAATCTTTTTGTTTAGTCTTATGATTGATGTGACATTATGCTTCTTGAAATAAGGAAAGTAGGCTTCAGGTGCATGAAGAGGATAACCTATTAAAAAAATATAAAGCCACAATCATTTAATGTCCTAGGTTCATGAAGTTCAAAATCCCACTGAACAAAATAGCCCCTGAAAACTTTTTGAATAATAAACACACTAATACTAAAAATGCTTTAATACTTTATTCAGAGTAGACATGTTAAGTGATATGAAAAAATTGTCAAAAAATGCTCATTAAGACCACTTTTATTATAAAAAGTATGAGGAGGTAAAAAGTTAAAACACAATCTATGTGAAACTGTACTGTCTCAGATTAAGTCCCCATTCTTCTCTGCAAGGGGATTTATATATAAAGCTGGGGACATATATGAATTCAGCATTTCAGAACAGCTGTTTATCTAGAGTCAAGCTGCAGATCAAAGAATAAAAGCATGCTTGAAGAGGAAACACTGTTTTTATAGAAAATAGATTGTTCATCAGTATTATGGACAAGAGAAACGGTCAAAGGATAAACTGCAGTACCAAAAATATTCCTGTCCTACTGGGAAGTAAGAGAGATTTATTGCCTTGATTCTTAGTTGAGAGACAAAAGGATCCTCTAGATGAAGATGGGGGGACAGGGAGGGAGGTCAATGACCAACCACAACACAGCTGCTCAGGACAAGTCACATACACATTAGTAAATGCAATTCAAGACACAAGATAATGAGAAAAAAGTAGCTTTGTGAACTTGCAATCACCTGGGGGAGGATTATTTATAGTTTCATAACTGGATTTTAAGTGGGTTAATTTAATAATTTTCAGTTATACATGTTATAAATAAAACACAGGTTTTCCAAATTTCGTGGAACAACTGAAGTAAATTTAGAAAAAATTCTGTAAGAAAGGGCTGCAACAATGATTGGGGAAGAAACCCAAACCAACCAAAATATTTTCTTTATGGATTTTGTTTAAATTTTCAGTGGATGCTTTGTAACCAGCAGCATTTCAGTCATAAAAGAAACATGAGAGAGCAGAAGAAGGGGATGGGGAGGGCAGGTAGATATTCAGAAAACATGCTCACATAAACAACAAGATGTGGCACAAATAATATAGTCAAATTCAGAAAAAGCCTGATGGTAGTATTTAAATGACTGATTTTCCTTTTAGCTGGACCAAATCTCTACTTCCCGTGTCAGTCAAGCAGTCAAGTTTTTTCTTTTTTATTATTCCACTAGAATCACATACCCCAAGTATCTTCAATAGGAAAGGTAAGCTTCTTTTAACAATCTTTTCTGGTCTGTGTCACCAAACTCTTAACACAGCCTTCTGTGTTTAATGAAACTCACCTTTAGTTCTGCACACTTACTGTACCAGCTGTCAGGTTCCAGGAGGACAGTAAGTGACCTGAGTCTCTCAGGCACTTTGTCACAGGATGAAAAGTTACTGACTGCTAGAAGAATTCAAATTCTTCTGGCAAAGAAGAATTCCAAAACTTTTTGAAGTAAATTCTATGAGCATATATAAAATGCTCACTGGATGATTATTTCTGAAGATTAAAACTGATCTATAGCCCTCTATTACCTTCTGCTTTTTTGCTGTGATGGTTTTACGTGCTGGACAAATAAGATCATAGGACAGCATTAAAACATACACCATACCATTTTCAAGTTTGCTTTTCGGGTGTGGTCCACTAAAAGCCAAAAATTTTCCTGGAATAATCCAGTTGAAGTCACCATTTTCCACTCGCTACAAAAATTTCAGAAAAGAAACATTTTAATATCTGTATATACAAGGTAAAAAAATTACTCAATATTTTATTTTATTCTTTACTATGTTCTTGTGGCATTAAAATGAAACACTTCAAATGTAATTAGCTAGCTTAACTATATGGGACAAATTAAACAAGCTGCTTCTCAGATCTTAATAAAATGAAATGTAAACAAAACTTGCTTAAGTTTTCCAATAAAAGCAGAAAGATCCTTTATGTAAAATATTTCTCCTTGAGAGGGTTCACTGTTTCAGGACACCTATTAATAACACTGACAAACATCACCATTCTTTTTCCCATGTTTTAATCAAAAATTATGGAAGAGTGCTTCCTCGTGAGGCACTAGCTAAAAAACCCAACTCAGAGAAAACAAATTAAAAACCAATTAGCCTTCAAAGCAATTACCCCTTCCCTGTAGAAACTGAAATTTACATATTGGCATAAGCTCTGATGAGCCAGTAATCACACAAGAAAAGTGTAAATTAAATGAAGAGACTAGATTTTAATCAACTTTCAAACTATGACATTTTGTGTTTCTTGCTCACTTTTAAATGAAAACCTAAAAAGGCTCTTCAAATTCTGTCACTGCTGAAAAGGAAAGCTTCTTTGGAAATACATAACATGAATTATAGCTCCAAACTGCCTTCTTTTCTTTCTTTAATTGAAGACTGCTCATTCCTTGTTTGGCAATGCAGTTATTCTCAGCATGACTTTTAAGGACATGGCACTCTGTTCAGCTGCATTATAAAGCTTGTGTTTTTAGCTCTCAGCTCATCAGAACATCCTAATGAGTGAAAGGTTCTGATAATGGACATCACTGTAATCAATTCAGCAACTGTTTGCTTAGCTGAGCCCATTAGGCTTGCTCCCAATGTCCCTACACAATGGAAACTCCTGGAAATTACCCAGGTTGCATAAGGACTAGAGAACCAAGCTCAGTGCCAAGGCAGGACCCCTGCCCCCCACCGGTATCACAGACGGGCATCTCAGCACTGCAGCGCCCCTACTCCCTTTAGGGCAGAAGTCCTGGTCAGTAAGCTAAAAATATTTTTGTATTTGTATCACCAGTTTTATTTGTGGATAAAGTTTCTTACAGTTACAGGAGTCATGGTGAATAATTTCAATTTTTATCAATACAGGTATCTCTGTATACGTGTGTATGTGTATGTACACTACATGCAAACATCGTTATTACTAAAAAACCCAATCAGTATCTTACTTCCAGTCCAACAAAAGGGGAATTAGCTGCCTTTGCAAGATACTAAGATGAAAGAACTACAGACATGAAACAAAATTTCCTTTTAGCCTGCTCCATTTAAGTTGTATGCAACTTTTGTCTACAAAACCACACATTTGAAGACCTAACATAGCAAAAACCTGTAACATGGAAAGTTTTTGAAATATAGCACGGGACATAACTAAACATAAAGGTGACCACGATGTGTGGAAAAAAAAGAAGACATACCAAAAAAAGGACAAAAAATTAAAGATGATTCCAAATTCTTGCTTCTTAAACTCAGCAAACAGCATACTATAAACATCGTTCACATGTATGTACTTTGCACATGCTAAAATAATGTTAAACCTTAAACAAGATAATGGGATAGCTTTAGTCAATTATTTTAAGACACTTTTTCAAGCAGACTAACACCTACTATACATACGGAATTCCAAACTACCATTTGTTTTTGGAACAAGTTTTTATTTTTGTACGTGGAGTAAGCAAAAAGCAGCAATTTCATATTTTAAACTTTAGTTCCTGTTCATTTAATTTCGGTGATTCTGCAAAGACTATACCAATTTTTGAACCTAATCATTATGGAACATTGCAGGATACAGAAATCCTACTACAAATGCTTTCAAACTTAGTGAAATAGGCAGATTTGTGTTACAGACTGCCTAGTGCAGACATCTAGTACATAGATGTGCTGTCAGTTAACGTTCTACACTGTTTAATCCTCTTCACTTTAGTGAACATTTATGGCGCATTTCAGTATGTACCTGAAATACATACAGCTATAGGAAATGCTTTTAAAATGGAGATTTTCAAACTTAGCAACTTTATTCTCATTACTTCCAAGTTTTCTGAAACTTGCAATAGAGCGGGAGAATGTGGGAAGAATACTGGCTACAGTAAAACAACACAAGTTTAAAAAGAGAGTTAAATTTATATTCAAATATTTAGTACACCTCTAGTTTACATATCTCCTTAACCAGTACAGGTATTTATGTGTTCCAAAGACAATGTCCAATAAACTAAATGATTGTCACTGACTTCAGGAAAAACCTTTTCCCTTTCTTGGAGTGAGACCTGCTAGGCAAAGATCATGCAACTCTTTTGGACCAGATGTACGTACACCTTCTGTGCCTGAGATTTCCTCTGTTCACAGGTACAGCACGGCATATTTTAAAGCTTCTCTAAAGCAATGTAGCTTGAGATAACTTTTCACTACCAGCAGATAAAGGTGTGTATGTTACCAAGTCCGTGAAGCATCTAGAGCCAACCAGAGCACCTATACCTAGGTTGTAGGAAAGCTGGCAGAACAGTGAAATACATCTGTTAACTTCCTGGGACTTCATTAGGGAAATAATTTGGATGTATTTCCTTTATTAGAATTTCACATAATGCATCCTTACTAAAAAACCCCTCAAAATCTGCTTCATCTATGTGACTATAAAAAATTCATCACATGTTTGGGACTAATAGGAATGGAAGAAGGAGCTGACAAGGACTGTATCCTGCGAGAAGGCTGGGAAAGCACTGGAGAGGCCCTAGAAGCCAGAAAGGCTACAAGAAAACAGGGGATTTATGATATGATGCACTGAAATTGCAAGGAATCCTGCATGTTCTTCAAAAAGAGCAGATAGGTTTCCATGTACATACCTTCATATGAACACTGGGTTTTACTCAAATTAAAGCGTATTTCCAGTATGCTTTAAGGGGGGGGATGGTGAATACTCTTATTTTAGGTAACTCAAACACATTCAATGCGTTATTAAATGTACAAACCTCATAGTGTTCATATTCATCCACATCAAATGTCTTAAAGTCAAAAAATCCATGCTGCAAGGCCTAAAAGGCAACAAGGTGTCAGTTTACACTGAAGTACAATATATCATCTCATTTTATAATACTTATTTTGAGCAAAACTAAATCCCTAAATGTTTGTGGTTGTGGCTTATTGAAGCTTTTACGTTAAGACAACATGACATTTTGCACAGATTAACAACACAGACCACAAAAACTCCAACAATGTCACTGAAACATGTCAGGCTCATTATTTCCCCTCCAAAAACATGAGGATGGGACACAAGGCTGTTGCATATCACTTAAATTGTAACATTGATTCTACACCCCACCTTGTGGGTTTTTTTCTGTAAGGCAGATGACAAGTTAAATAGCAATTCCCTTTTTGTCATACCCTCATGTAATGATTCCTATGCCAAATGTATTTTCATGCAATTGGACATAACAAAACATTGAACACTGAGAGTTTATTGATTTTCTGCACTTAGTATGATACTCTGGTTTTATCACCATAATACCTAGGCAAAATGGCATATACAGAATGCAGTGCCATGTACAATATGTATTTTATTATTTCTTTTAATACACATTTCACAGGTACAATAAAGTCCACCAGACTATGTTAGACAGTACTTATTACAGGACTGAGAGAAGTTTTGTATTACATTATTTTTATTATTATTAATTATGCCACTTTTGTACTAAAGATTTGTATATAATAACCATTTTGAAAACACTTCTACGGATATGAAATTCATAGCCAATGTTTATTCTAAATTCATGGAAGACATTTCTGCAGCATATATTTATACTGAACCAATTGCATTTTGAAAAACATAGATATTGCACAAAATTCTGGAATTAAGGTGTGATAAGAACACATCACAGATCTATGATTTAAAACCAATAATCAGACTGCCATTGTTTGCTACATACAGGCCATTTTTTAGCACAAATGAAAAATAGCTTTGTTATAGACAAGATAGGCTCAGTGACTGGACCTGTCATGAAACCTAAGATACTGAGAGGTTGTCTGAACAGCTGATTTTGAAAAATGTATTTCATTGAAGCATGGCAGGCTGGCTGCACTCCACAACTTGCAGGCCCCCTGAATTACATGTATATGACATATACACATACAAACACCCAATTTATCCAGGTAAACTAAGACTACTTTCAATTAAGGAATATGTTTTCTGCCCAAAGTGTTTTAACCTCTGTAACTCTGAACTAGACAAAAATTAAATAATAAATTTTATGAGAACAAAGGAGGAAAAACTGATTCTCACCGTCCTTTTGATGTATTAGCTGCAGATAAATTACAGTGATTGCACTGACTACTTCAGATCTTCAGATCTGTAGAATGCCTCACAAATTACAGTCTTGCTGGTAACTGACAGCTCCTTTCCCACCCCCACAGAACTAAAAATATTAAGCTTGATCGCTTTTTCCAATTTTTAAAAAACACTTGTTTTGCCACTTTTTAAAATTACAAGTGGTCTATAAAGTATCTGTACAGCACTGTTCCTATAGCCTGCTCTCTTCACCGAGAACAATGAGAAATGATCAACAAAATTTAAAGGTCCCCAATTAAGAACTGATGTAAAATTTTTTAAGAGAACAATACTGGAGCTTAATAGCTCAGGACTACTTAAAGTGACACATCAAACCACTAGTAAGATACATTAGTTTTCACTGGTTTTAAAAAATTTTGAAAAGATCAGTGTCAAACACAAGTGTTTTGGGGAAAGCAGGGGCCAAGTACATGCAAAAACTGTTCTGATTAAATCACAAATTTCAGATTCCTAGGTATCTGTTTCACCTGACCTCATCAGCCTGTCATTCCCTCTCACCAGGGGTTATAAATGATCTATCAGCAGACCCAGCACAGTGTCTTGCATTAAGAGCTGTCCCCAGCCAGGCCTGGTGCATTTTCATGTTCCACTTCATGAGGTGAAGTTCAAAAAGCTGTCAAAGGCCAGGCCAGGCAGTCAAAGTGCAACCTTGCTCTGCCATCAGTACTCAAACACACTCCTCAGTAACTTAGGTTTCATCACCACTCCCTCACAAATCTGCTGAAACCAGGTTTTATAATCTATTTAAACAGTATTTTTCTTCATCTTTTAAAAATCAATTTGAACCTGTTTTGCTAAGAAAAGATGTTATTACCTTATTTACTCCCTGTAAACAGTCCAAGATCGTAAGATTGTATGTGCAGTTCCCAAACGAAGCGTCCCTATAGATTTAATACAAATGAATTTAATATACACAAAATTATTTTAAGAACTAGGGCAAAGGCAGAACACAACAGAATACATTCAAGCTATTCAATACCCTTGGAGAACTCTGAATTAAAGTCCAAAGACATCTTTTTAGAAGCTTGTTCAGGCTAAAGTACTCCCCTACCCAAGATGTAGCTCAGATTAAATGCAGTTAGATATTGCAAGCTACTTTAGGTGCATATTTTACATTAGGTAACTACAAGCTCTTTACAAAATTATTTATGCTATCCTGGAACAGGAAAGTTTGCATCCTCTCTGGATTGTGTAAAGATAGTAGCAAATAAAGCACAGCTTGCTTTAACCATTATTCAAGTCTTAATTGAGTTACACTAACAGGGGCAGGCAAATAAGACTAATAGTTTGGAATTAATTTACAGGCTTCCATTTTGATGCCCAATTACAGATGTGATTAAAAGTTATCCCGATGTAAGTAAAATTTCTTGACCTCAGTATACCACATGAAAATTACAACTTGTCTGTAAAAGATGAAGTGAGACTCACCATCAAATACACACTACTAAAAAAAGGCATTGTGGAAAAATGAAAATGTGCTTTTCGAAGTGTGCTTCAGATGTCTGCACTTTGATTTTGACAAAACTCTGCCTGATCAGATTATTTCCTTATCACTCATTAAGGAAATCTTTTACATCTTTTCTCTTTGCTATCTTAGATTGAGTCCTAAGAGCTGCAGTTTAAAAGAATAGTAAAATTCTGGGTTCAGACAGATCCATACTTAATCTATAATTGATTCAAAATTTCAATCTTTCATTGAAAACTTTCCTTTTTTGATAAAACTTGCTATAAGTAGTATGAAGTATGTCATATGCTCCTTCAATCTCAAGTACTTTAAGAGTAGAAAATTCTCTCCTATTCTTTAAGAGCAGAGTAAGTTTAGCAGTTTTGAGCAAGCAGTGTTCATAGAAAATGGTTTTAAGAAATTTAAAAGCTACTATTTTGGTAGTGTCATATTGCAGGCAAGCCATCTAAAAATGCTTTCCAATTATTAGATTATTAAAACACACTTAACCATAATGTTTTGGAATGGGAACTCTGAAGTGTGTATGAATCTTCCATATCCAAATCCAACAGACAAGTTTTAAAAATGAGAAGCCATAAAGTATTTTCATTATGTTGAATAAGCAGAACATATCAAAACTAATATATGAATTTTACAGACAATACATTTTTGACAGATAATGGATTAACATTATTATTTTGAATATCACATGATAGCAGATCATTTTAGCAAACAAAATTTGCTAAAATTCTTTTAGCAAACAAAAAAGTCTTGTGACAAAAAAAATTAAGGGCCCTAATGGGAAATGTACATAGCAGAAAGGGTTTAAAAGCTGTACCAGTTTTCTGGAGGGGCTGACAGAAATAAAATAAACAAATGCAAACCACAAAACAAAATATTTAGAGAAACATGAATAGAAGATACGGTTGTAGCAGACAGGTTCTATTTTATATGTTATTTTGTTGTAACAATAATATAACATTTATTTTATCTGTATGTATATCATTACTTCTTTGACTGATAAGGCATCTGATCGTGCTGTACATTAAAACTATGCTGGGGGGAAAAAAACCACATAATCCCTAATCCATTAATAAGAAATACTACAAAAGAGGGAGGGAGGTTGGTGAAGCTGACCCAGATGTACAATTCCAGGTGTACAGTATCCTCAGCCACAGCTCTCACAGCCAGCTGTTACCAGTGAGCTGCACACAGCTGCTGGCAGCTGACATGGACTGCCTCCAGCATCCACGTCTCCAATCTCTCATTTCTCCTGACGTGCACCATTGAAGTAGGAACTGATCACATGTTTCATTACAGTATTCTTGGAGTATTTTATGCTCAAATGAATAGCCACCTTACTTTTCAAACAGTGACAGAACTCTATTCACTTTCAAAATGAGAAAAAATGTGAGTGTTTCTAGGAGATGCAGATTTCGTAGGAATCTGAGCTGGCATTACAGAGTTGCATATCCCACATCCGATTTCACAGTTGTAGCTGACCTCAATACTGCATGATGCTTTCCCTTTCACCAAACCCCTAAACACTGTCAATAACAAAACAATTTGTTTCCCCAGCACTTGCCAATAAAGAAACAAACCCCAGAAGCTATGAACTAAAATCCATCTCTGAAATTCATGTCATCATTGAGAAACTGAACATAATAATATTAAAATATATTTGGTTTTTTGTCAATACAAAGTATTTTGAGGTAAAAGTGATGTGAAATTCTGCTTAGTAGGCAACTGGTATTCCTGACAATTTTAAATGGTGTTAGCACTGTTTTTTAAATGGAAGTGAGAAGATACAGTATAAGATCTTCAAGAGACTAGAGCGTCACCAAGTGACAGTGAATCAGCCAAAAATAAGACAAAAGTGTCTCAAAGACAGTAGTGCCTTATCCTGCCAAGTTATCTTTAGCTTTTCTATTATAAAAACAAAACAAATTTCCCTGAATTTTGTAAGAGGAGCAATCTGATTTTTTTCCACCCCTGAACTGTATTTGCTGAAGCTGTCTTTAAATGAAATACCAGCTGAAGACCTAAGCCGATTAGGGCTTTTTGAGGTCACTCAGCTACATGAAAGTAGATCAGTTTCCCAGTGCTCACTTCATGTAAACCTACCTCAGTACTCCACTAAGAATCTGACAGTGCTGTAGCTTCTCCCTATTCAAAGCTGTCTATTTTTCTTTCAAATAGAGGACACTTCACGTATCAAATTAACAAATTTGTTAAATACAAGTTGTAACACTTAACTGATCATTGCTCACTGACAAACTCTTAAACTATTCAAACCGAGATGACCTATATCACAGAAGTTATATAATATCTAAGTTCCAGGCTGGAAGAATAAATTCAAGTCAGTAAATACTGAACAGCAATGATTAGTATCTCCAAATTATCTCCTTTATAGACCTTAGAACATGAGCAAAAAGGTAAGACATTTGGTTGTTTTCAGTTATTTTAATCCAGATTGTCCCACTGCAGACCCTCATCAGATCTACTTGCCCTTCTCTCAGAGCCAGTAATTCTTGAGATCCTTGTATATACTAACATCCGCCTGTGAACCCCATACCCAAATAGCCCCTCCCTATTACACTTCCCATTTCTCATCTAGCATCTCATGACAATCCTTTATTTTATTTCCTCCCTGCCTGCCCTTTATTTCTTTGTCTCCCTTCCAGTACAGCCACATTACACACCCATCCTCCCCAGCAGGACAAACTACACTGTAGGTAACAGAATCTATTTAGGCTCTATTCCAGAGACAAGAGATGACATAGTCCAAAGTAGATGCAAAAGAAACTGAAGTGCCTTCCAGCCCCACCCCACACAAGAAAGAATACTCAAGAAATCAGGATGTTTAATTATTCTAGCAAAAGCTCCCAACACTATATTCCTTCTAGAGACAGCAAGGCTCAAGAAGAATGTCTCCCTCTAACATGGCCAAAGCTTTGCCTTAAAAAACCCAAATAGAGCAGCAAAAGCCCAAACACATACCAGATCCCACCCACACCATAGAAAACCCACCACTAAAACCCCATAATTGTCAAAAGCTTTAGCTTCAGACAATAATTTCTCTCACAGCAACCTAGAGCTTGAAACACTTGGAAAAAGACTGCAAAGCAGTTATGTTTCAGAATATCCTACTCCATCAATTTATTGTCGTGTTCCCCTAAAGCTGACAAATGGAATTAAACAATTATTCTTTTGTAACCATTTTGCCAACCCAGACAGCAAAACCTGAGTAGTCCCTTTGCTGGACTTGGCCTTCTTCTATGTTTTTGGATAGTGTACTCCTCCCAGGGAAACACAAAAAGCTCTTTTGTATATAACACAAAATTATCTCCAGAAAATCTTGATGTGTCTTCTATTTTTTTGATCCCTCCTTTGATGATTCTAGAGTAGCTAACTATCCTATTTTGAAATAAAATTTCATTAATTCAAACTCACAAGGATTACCTATGAATAATCAATTAACACTTAACAGGAAATTGTTTTGTGTCATTGAATTTGTTACTGTGGTTCCAATCAGCCTCACAAGAAATCAGAGACAATTACTTTCATTAGTCCTTACCAGTCAAGCAGAAACAGCATTTTCTTATCATTGCTACTACTATCAGTATATAGCAAGAATCTATAGCCTTTGACTGGAGCAAACAGGGTCCTGTGAGACTGTTCTGCAAACACACTATTCTCCTCCCAAGTTTTCTGTCTTACCATTTTGGTACCTGACAAGTAAATTTCTTCACTCTGTCAAAACCTCTTTTCTACACACCTTGGCAGGAATGAGAAAAACCTAAAGACATATCAATTTACTACAGCTCCAAACAGTAAATTTCTTTAGTTGGTCAACAAGATACAGCTATTCAGCTATGGGGCCTGATGAGATGTATCCATCCTCAGTGTCCTGAGGGATCTGGCTGGTGTTGTAAAGCCACTCTCCATGATATTTGAAAAGTCATGGCAGACAGGCTCAGTCCCCAGTGAGCAGAAACTCTTATTTTTAAAAAGGGTACAAAGGGAGAGAACTGCAGGCTGGTGAGTACCACCTCTGTGTCTGGGAAGGTCAAGAAGCAGATCTTCATGGAAGCAATGTTAAGGCACACACAAGACATTGTTTAGTGCAGATCATGACCCCTGTATCTTATAAAGAACCTGGAGATGTTAAAAAACACTGACATGTTTAAAATAACTGATTTTTTATGCATTGTACCAAGTATCTTTTATGATTAGCTGAAAAAAATATGGATACCAGTAGAACAGTAAATTTCTTGGGCTCTGGAGAGCTATCAATGATCAGATCAGCGTATAAATTCTCTGTCAATAAAAGCTATCACTGATTTAATACCTTTTCTTTAAATGTAGATGATTGAGATTTTGTAGTCAAACTGGTCTTCACATTAAAAAAAAAAATCTACCAGCCCAGCAGTTTATTCTGCATCTGGCTTCTGTGCAAAGTATAACAAGAGACAGTTTGATCTTCCTTTGCTGAGTGGCTGAAGAATCAGAGGAATTTGATATAGACAAGGTAGGTCTACATTTACAAATGCATTGGCTAACAGTGAACACCACTTGCAAAATGCTGATTCCCCTAGAAGAGAGGATATTGACCTTCTTGCAAGTTGCATTCTATTGCCAGTGTTTGCATAAGAATACCATGAGGTATTCTCATTCATAAAGCATAAGGGTATTTCATAGTCCACACCATGAAAAATATTTTGAAGTCTCTCTGTTAGATAGGCATGATAGCTAAAATTCCTTAGATTCAAGCCTCAATGTGACCTGAGTACAGATTTTAAAGACAGATTGATAGAAACTATTTATGATTCACTGAAAACATTCTGTAACCTTAATATCAGTACCTGTTCTGTAAAACAGAGAAAATATAACAGCATAAAACCCACTTCAATCCTGTAAGTCTCACTAGCTAGGGACTAGGTAACTTCAAATATTTGAATGAATCTCAAATAGTAAAACAATGCATTATGAAGAAAAGGTTTAAGTGCTATATCACAAACATGCTAAGAACTACTTTCAAAACCTGACAGTTTGCTAGACTGAGTCATAATTAAGACTTGTATCAATCTAAATTATTTATTATTCTCACAAACAGAAAGTAATTACAGGAGATGTAAAAAATATTTTTTCTGGAGATAAGTCATTTTCATACAATACCTGTATCAGACATGAAACATCTTTTTGGGAGGCAATCTAAACCCCAAAATTTTTAGCAAATTTCAAAACAGAAGTAGCCTCATTTCTTGTGTTCACATACCTAAATGGAAGATATGGTGGATTAGATCCAGATAAAAGTGTTCTGTAAGCTTCTTCTGGTGTTTTCTTCAAGTATATAACCTAAAAGGGATGAGGGAAGAAGGAAAAAAATAAATCAGAACTGAGCCTGACAAGTCTTTAAGCCAACAGGAACTTCCTCCAGCACACTGAACTTGTAAGAATGCATGTTATACTTCTTCATGACCAAATCCTGTGACATATACAGATCAGAAAAGACATGCCTACACAAAGAAAAGTTTCAGCTATCAACAGAAGTCAACAAAAACTTTGTTTTTGTCAATCCCATACTTTAAAAAAAGAAAATTGGAAAAAAAAGTCACATACTGCTGCAAGTGAGAGACTTCAAAGTTGCATGAATTACTGTAAAATAGCTTACATTGAAAGCTTAAAGTCTTGCTTATAGACAAAAGATCCTTAGAGGGTAGTTCAGAAAACTTCTGGAAAAAGATGAGTTTCCATCTTATCAAGGAATTAGGGGCATGAAGCAAATTTGTACCACATGTTCTCCCAATGCTGCAGGTTTTATTTGACAGAAGTTCTGGCCCTTCAAAGCTGTAAGGCATTCACACATGACATTTTGAGCATAACGCTGGTCATTGTCTGTCCACACAGCTCACAAAGGCTCATAACAGACACCAGGAGGAAACAGAAAAAGGAAAGAGGAGAGGGAAAGAAACACTGAACACTCCTGAAAAATCAAAAGCTCCTGAAATCCATAGCTCCTAAAAAAATCGAAAGTATCTCAGATGTCAAGAGCAATGCAATAACTGAAGGAGGAAGGATAATGAAATGAAGAGGAAAACACTACAGTATGTCTTCAGCACCTAAAAAGCAGTGAATTCCATTAAGAAAAATCAAGGCGACATTTTCTGACTCATCCGTATCAATGAAAAGTCAGCAACCAAAACTTAGCTTCATTTTTAATCTAATATGATGAATCTTCAGAGTGCTTTCCTTCTGCAACATACACAAATAAAAAAAAACCCTAACAACACAAAAACCCCAGTGTGAATAGTTTGGATAAGCTCAAGCTTTTTTTTTGATATGTAAAAAGCAATGTAAAAAAGTTTTAAAAATTACTTTATAGATATTAATTATTCTCTTAGAGCAGTTTTTTTACAAGGGACAAGGTTTTCTTCCCTTTCCCCACTGTCACTACTGTAACTAACCATGTGGCACTGCTACTTGTAAAACCCAGATTCAATAAATACCGATCATTGTTTTTCCTCTGATATTTTCCTTTTTATGTTCTCCTCCTTCTGACTCATGATGTGGTTGAAAGCCCCCACAGTTAGGCCATTACACAGGCACAAGACATGTAGCAATACTGGCCCCACGTACCTGCTGTCAAGAACACTGATGACATATTTCCTAAAAAGCTTACAGAACAAAAAGGAAACCAGTATTTTCCAAGTCCACCTTAATACTTATCCACAGTACTTCAAACGCAGTTTGGATTTTTGTTTTTCCCACCTGCACCTGCCATTTACAAATCAGAAGTATACAGAAAAGATCCCCTCTAGAGCTGCTTAGATTACTGCAAACAAACCCTTCATGTTTCAGGTAGGGCTGAGATGCCTAGTTTAAATTTTTTAATTAGGATAAAACACTCCTGCAAGCAAATAGCTGGACATACCATAGTACTTTATTATTACCTGATCATTTGCTGCATAAAAACTGCAAATTTAAGAACTTAACAGCTTTTCTCTCTCACTGGCATTACAGAAATCTAATAAAAGATATTACTACCAAAGTACGCACTCGGAGGAATCATGAAAAAGAAATATGTCCAGTCCATCTGCTACCTATAAGGAAAAGGAACAGGAACCAGGACTAATAAACCAAACCTCCTCAATTAACTTTCAAACACCAGCAGAGCTGTGGCACACTGTCTATTATTCTGGGTAGGCTATGAAAATTAAATTAAAAAATAAATAAATTCAATAATCACTATGAATTTGATGTAGTAACTTTAAGAAGGCTGTAGGAAAATCTTTTTCCTTCCCAGTCTGAATCTCACTACTGACATGAGAAGCAATTCATCCTAACATGGTCAATTAGAGGTAAGCAGTTTGGATTTTCAACATTCAAGAAAATGGTACCCTATGGAAAAACATGCAGGGCATCTGCCAAAGCCATTCCCTATGTAGTAAAATAAATGGAGTTAAGGGATGATGACCAGGTTTCTCTAAAACACATACAGAGTTTTCAAAGACAGCTTAGAGACAAATGAAATGACCATCTGCCCACCTCCCTAAGGGAGTACCCCTTGAGAAGCCATTTTACACATGGAGGTCTCTTCAGGAAGGTTGAAGTATCCATGTGATCAAAAATACTTACAGCATATGAACCTATTAAAAACGCTGCGTTCGCTCGCTTCCGCTGGTCAAAGCTGGTGTAGTACACAATCTTCTTTCTTGAGAGACTGAAATACTGTTTAAAAGAGAATAAACAAACAAAACAGCATATTTACTAAGAAAAGAATATGCTTTAACAATACTTGAGCAAAATCACTTCTCCAAAACTGCAAAGCATGTTAGAGAAAATTCTTATTAAGAGAATCTTAAAATTAAAGGAGAAAAAATTACTGATACTCTGAAAAATCTTCTTATACCACAGATAAACAAGAGGGCAGGGAAATAGCCACTGTTTCTGGCAGATCTCTTGGTTAGCTGTACAAAAACATGCTATAAAGTGGAGCTGAACCAAAATCTTCAATATAAAAATCTGGATTTCCTGCCCCCCCCCAAGTTTAACTATTTGAAACACTTGCTTATGGACACTGATTAAAGACACTGAAATTTTCAAACTAAAATCCTGTATATTAAACCTACTTAGCACATAATTCCAAGGAGAAGACAGAAGAAAAAGTCAAGCAATCAACCTTACAGCCATTTTATAAGTTAAACACTTCCATCTATACTATTTTGAAATGGGGTGACAGACATATTTAGAAACCTTTAACAGCAAGAATTTACTTAAAAAGGTAAAACAAAAAAAAAAAGACTGTATAAGAGAAAATCCTGAAGGAAAGGCTAGGCAAAGACAAAACTAGTAACACTCACAACTCTATTTCTTTATGAAGAAAAGAAGCCTGTGTCAGAATCCTGTGGACAAACCTCCAATTGAAAACAAAATCAACAAGCAACAGAAAAGAATAATGACAACCTACAGCAAAACTGTTTAAAGCCAGAGAAAGACAATATTGTCACTTAAAAATGGCAAGTTGAACAATTTACTGCATTAGTAATTTTTAAAACTTCATGAATTGCCACACTTCCATTATACTCTGCTACACCCCTGTACCTTTTTCCAGACCGATTTTTACAGCACTCCTACAGTTTTGAGGAAGTCATCAACAGATATACTAGATTCTGTTGCTAATTATTTGAAGATTTTTTCTATTTTTAAAGGTTGCATGCTCTGTAAAATGCCCTAATACCAGTGTTGCTGTTACCCAACTGCAGGTTTTTAAGTCTTGACACCGCTGACACTTGGGAAGGGAGATGAGGTAACTGCTCCAGAATAGGGTTTCATTCATAGTGCCAACTGTACTTCACTTCCAGAGACCTGTCCATGTCGAGGCTTCAAAACTTATTGCAAATTTTAGAACAGTTTTAACAACAGAATCAAATTTTCCAAAAAAATCAAATATCTGATAACTCAGGAGAAGTGCAGGTACCACAGTGAGTTTGTTACTCCCACCCCCACAGAAACAGCACCTTTACTCACAGTGCTAACTGTACCTTCCAGTCTGCTCTTACAAGCCACAACTTCCAGAGGTGGAAGGAGCAAGAGCTAATGAAAGTGAGTGTAAATAGTTCTGCAATTCCTGAAATTGCTGCTTGCTGTTGATTGGAAGAGGTTGGATCTTAAAGCCCAACAGCAACATCTCTCAGTGTATATGCAAACACACAAAGCACAAGTCATTACTTAATTAGTGAAGCATTCAATTTTTATTAAAACTTGACAAAATGAGTCCCAGTACTTTAAGATTCCTCCCTTCTTCCCCCTCCTCAATTTTTTAATTTTAGTGTTCTCTAACTGCAATTCCACCCATGATGTGTAGGTGGGATAAGATTACAGTAGTTATGCAACAGTGACAGAACTTCAATTATAACTTATTGACTACTACTTATTTTAAAGCAAAGTTCTTTGCAGCAGTTTACAGTTCACCTAAAACACTATTTTAAACTGCACAGCTAGCTAGTGAGAAGTAAGTTCCATGTAGTATCTTTTATTTTATAGAATGGATTTTTTAATCATATGGGTATATCAAGTCATTCCAATTTTGAGACACTTTTGTATCCAAAGTAGCCATAACCTGAAGTTTCCAGAATATTTATATGAAAACAATGGATCATTTTTATTGCAACATTTTCAAAATGCAAGGGGGTTTAATCCTTGTTATATGAAATATTTCAATGTGGTTTGAATCCTGACTAATGCTATAACACAAAATTGAAAACTGACATTAATGCCTTATAGCATAGCAAGCAGCACAATTTAAGTTTTCAGAAGCCTACAAAACAAATAACTGCTTTTATTTGCACACTAGTTACAGAAAAGTAAGTTTTACAGTAGGTGTTTGCTGATGTGTTAATGCAATGCATCTGTTAACACTGACGTGCAATTTGCCAGTTCAGTGCACTTTCCTCAAAACTAAGCTATACGATCTATTTAAAGAAAAAATACTGATTTTCTGACCATATTTAGTAAGCTACATCTACTCCTCTGGCCAGGTTCAATGATGAGCTTTCACAACAGTTCTGGGAGGTTATAGTTTTTACAGCTCCAGAGCTCCACCTGAATGGAGCAGGGCTTTAGCTCCGTGAGGCTCTGCACAGCTCTGAAGAACCAGGAATGCTTCAAGAAGGACTTTTTCAATACAGGTATGTAGGGAATAACTATAGCTGCAGATAACATAGTTGCCAATAATCTTTTTTTTTTCCACAACAAAACTAAGGTGCACACACTATGAAGCACTAAAAATATTCTTTACCAGTGAGAACATTTTATCAGTTTCACACATCATTAAAAGATAAATTTTAACAGTATAACAAATAGTGTCTGTCAAGATACATCCCAGAGGAACAAACTGAAAGAATCTTGTGAATTGAAAGCAGAAGTTATACAGCAAGTGTAGTGGTTTTTACTTTAAGTAATAAAACTAATTCATAAGGTGTATGAGAGGGTTACAGATTATTTACTTTCACTGTAGGATCACATTCTTTCTTTTTCAAAAGTTCTCTGTAGATCTCAAGAGAGATTTACTTGCAGAGAATTGATGACAGGATTAGAAAGAGTTGTGGTGGACAATTACCAGACAGCTGTGTAAAATCAACATATCATTTGACAGTATTTTATATAATGGATAAGGTTAATGCAGTTGCACTGCTCAAGCAAGAAATTACTTCAATATAAGTAATTTAGCAATAAGCTTTGATCTACTCTAAATTCTACTTTTATTTATATGCAGGTGTACATATAGGTAACATGCACTTGTGAATAGACAAGAGTACAAGATTGGCAAACTTAATACAAATCAATTCATTTAAACACGTGCCTACAACCCTGCCTCAAAATCTAGGCTGTCCTAAATGAGATGCTTTGCAATTACTATAGTTCTATGTGTATGCCTAGCAGTTTATTTATAGTAAAACAAAAAAATAAGCCAAATCCCTCTATGATTCAGCAGCAATACAACTACCATGCAAAAAGTTAACCCCAAAATTGATAAGCCTGCCAGTACCTTTCCTCTCCTGCCTCTGATCTTCAATATTGTATCATTTATATCAGCAACACTCCCTGATTACTTCTGCTCCTTAATTTATTGAGAATGTGTAAGGCTATGCACAGATAAAACACAACAGCTTTTTAAAAGCAGTTTTTGTGAAATCAGACTAAAAAACAAGAAAAAAAATTCATTCATAAATGAAGTCCAGTTCCTTAGTCAAATGTTTTCTGCCCTGAACAGAATTCAAACACCAAGTAGGAAAACAGCACAGACAAGTTCTTCCTTGCTGCTGACTATTGGATAGTGAAAATCATCTTTACAGCAATCAACAGTTGAAAAATTACAAATACAAGGTCAAAAAGTTTTTCCTTTAAGGCACAGCCAAGACTTTGCCTCAAATTTTCTCAGCAAATGGATATCTGAATAAATTCTTTACCTCTTCAGAACAGAGGTATTTACTGTTTAAAAAAAAATCAGTCAGCATAAAGTTACAACAGTTTACTTTCAAGTGTTGATCTGCCACTAGCACATTTCAAACCAACATCCTCCTTCCTCACCAGTCCACAGCAAAAGGAGAGAGGAAAGCAGAATACTGCCTCATGTCAAACTTCTCTCCCAGAACAGAAAGAGATATAGCTGAAAAATTTGAAAGGAAAGCTTGTGGAGCTTTCTAGTTTTAATGAGATCTCTACTTTCATTTATCCTGTTCCCATCCATAGAAGTTTTAAAATTAAAGAAGCCTAAGTCTTAAATTTGAGACACCGTATCCATACCAAACCCCGCACGGTTACAAATAACTTCTTTTTGTGCCATACTTGAAAGACTATTCTTAAGTAAAGTACACTAAGTGCTTATCCAGCCAAGCACACCATATCATCTGGGCTTAAGCACTAGGATTGTTTCTGGGTCCCAAAAGTGCTGCAGTATGGCAATAGCAACCACCCCATGACAATCTGCAGACTCTTTTACTGCTATGATCAAACAGCTCCTGCAGCAGGTCACAGGGCACCCTTAAGGCAAGGGTGTGCAAGCAGCAGCTTCCCAACAGGGCTCTCTCTCTGTCCTTAGTTTAATCTGCACTTCCCATCTCTGAAACACTCATCCCAGGTTGCTTAAATATCACCTGGTGCCACATGAGAATTACCATACTTTTGCTGCTGTAGGGCAGGTAAGTCATAGGTCACAAACTTGTGAACACTGTAGTGCAGGCTCCAGAACTCCTCTTGAGGACACGTGCGAAGGACAGACACAAGAAGATGAGGTGTACAAACGGTGACTAATTCTTGCCTGGGGAAGCTGAGCAGTCACTGTAGCTAGGCCTACAGTCCCGAGCAGATGCACTCCTCTGGGGCATGTAAATACACATGCAGAGGCAGGCTTCAGCCCTGGGTCTGTCTTACAAGCCTACTTACCCACTGCAGATGGCATCTAAATTAGGAGAGTGTGGCACAGATTTTAACTGCTAGAAGAGCAAAGCTTACATTAGCAGTACCAGTCTGCCCCAGGGGTAGTGCCAATCAGCCAGACTGGAATCCATTCATATGTAACTTTTATACCACTCTGGCAGTACTCCAAGCTTTAGCTGTTTGGTTCCAGGTATTACTTTCAAGTGGTTACACTATCAGGTTACCCTTCTCTCCTAGGCACTAGGAGTTTAATTTAACCTATTTGGAATCAGCCTCTGGCAAGCCAGAGGCAACAAACTACACTTCCTCCCAGTGGAGACCTCTCTGTTCTGGTCCTGGCCACCTGTACCCTTCACCCTGCAGTGCACGTACATTCACTCTTCTCAAAACCTAGAAAAGTTACATTAAAATTGGCATTGCAGTTTGCTAAACCAACCCTGCAACTATCAGGGTTAATAGTTCCCACCAAAAGAGCTAATTTAGCTCCTTTGGTTTTTTTCCCATCATAACATCCAATCTCCATCACCTTACAAGACACTGATGATTCACTTGCCTCATTCAGTGAGTAAGATGATGGTCTTAGAACAAAAATAAAGACTGCAGACACATTCCTGTTTAATACTGAACCATTAAAAAAACCCCTGAGATATTTATTAGTTGCATACTTATTTTCTGGGTGAAACTCCTGGTACCTAGGTTCAAGACTGAAGGCATACAGTAATATATGAGACTGTATTAAGGGCCCAAACTGATCACAATCACAATCCGAATCTGGAAAAGATAGAAATGATCTCTCTAGTTCCCATAGGCACAGTGAAGTTAGAATAGGAGGTTTATTACTGGTTCTCCTCTAGAGTAACTGCTTCATGGAGCAAGCACACTCCAGTTTTTAATAACACAACTATAAGGTCACAAACAGGAGAACTAAGGTGAAAAAATAGATTCCTACTGAGTAAGAACCATTGGTCATTGTCATAGGTTAAGAAGGAAGTGAGTTTTTTGGGAGCCTCAAACCATGACAGTCATGTGTTTGAATGGGGCAGTAGCACTGCAAAATAGGATCATAATGTATTTATAAGGAGCCTGATGTTATCAAATGCCAAATCCAACATTTCCCCAATACAAGCACAGGCATTCAAAATTACAAACAGTAGAGCTTAACTTTTTGTAAGCATATTTTTAAAGTAAGAAGCAATGTAAATTTTCACTAGAAGCACTTCTTTTTTTTCCAGAAATCTGCAGCAACTCTACAAGCCCTTCAATTTGCAGAACCTCCACTAAAGAATTCATGGAATTCAGCATACCCCCGAAAGCAGCAGGTAGCATGAATGAACTTAACTAAAGGTTTCATTTGTGCCTCCGAGAATAATGCCATTTTCAATAAAGGGACCCTCTTAACAGTGGCCAAAGCAATCACATCTGTTGCCCCATTTTCCCCCTTCTGTCAATAACAGGTCTAATATTTTATATTATACAATATTTTAAGTCTGTAATATTTAGTGAAAGGTCTCCTCATTATCTGCCCACAAGTTATATTAATCAGCATTTTGGAATTAAAACATCTGTTTCATTTCTTGCAGTTCCCAGATTTTCTATACAAGCTGCAAATCACTTCTTCACAGGTATTGGAGAAAGTGAAGTCTGCAGCTGTACATATGCTCAGAAGACTGGCTGAGATGGAGCTGGGATTTAGACACAGCAGCCAGTGTGATGCTGTGACTTAGATTTGTCATCAAAACTGTGTTGATAGCACACCCATGTTTTATCTGCTGCCAAGCAGTGCTCTCATAGTCCCAAGGCCTTCTGTTTTTCAGCCCCGAGCCCTTTTCCACTGAGACTTACTTTAAACAGTGGGATTTCAGGACCCATGTTTTGTTCCTTGAGTATCTGATTTTTCAGTTATTCAGACCAGCATATACACTTCATTAGTTGCAACCCCTAATTTGTGGTGACACAACCAGTAGTTTTTGTTACTATTGTCTTGAAAGTGTTAAGGTTATGCAAAAAAAGATGAACACAGCCTTCAGTCACCTGTTTCACCACCTAAGCTGAAATGAGGGCATATTATTTTCTTTCACTCTTCAGAGGGAAAAAAACTCAGAACAAAATTTGAAAATACAAAAACATAGGAACATTGTTTTTAAACCAAGCTTACCTTTAATTTCTTATTTAGTTTACAGCAGTATCTGTATAACATTGCCAAATTTAGAGGTCCAAAATCTCCATAGAAACTGGAAAAAAAACATAAAACAGTGTTATTTATACAAAAGAGCTAAGCAAATTTCAATACACATGTTGTTGATAAATAAAACTGGAAATCAAGGATACTGAGTAGCCAATACACATGAAACAACAGATAAATCCTTTATTGATTAATTTAAAAGGACAATAGTAACAATTAATTTAAACTTATTTGTAGCTTCAGTTTAAGATAGTCCAGTAACTACTTTTCCCATTATATACACACACTAACTACAGAATTTTTTTCTTCATCCCATGATATCCAGTCTGGTTTTGGGCAAAACCACAGAGTGAAGACTTGAAGACATGATATACATTTAAACCATGCTGATGTCATCCTAAAGATTCTACAAGTGCTTAAAATGAGAATATATCATTACCTACTAACAAGAATAAGCTAAACAGAATTTCTTGTGGGTGATAACATTTATTCAATAACATCTAGTCTTGATCTCTGTCTGAAGTTTTAGCTCATTTCTTTATATACCTTTTTTTACTATTCCAGAGATTAGGTATTACATACCTTACATCTTTTTGTCCCCCAAATCCTCTTGCCTCTAGGCTGTTCTTCCAATTTATTATCTATTTCATGTTCTAAATATCAACTTCTCATTGTTCTTGTTTCTCTCTTCTACATTTTTAAACTGTGTTACCTTTGAACAACAACCCTGGCCTTAAGGAAAGAGCTAGTAGAAGTAATTTGTACAGGAAAATTATTGCACAACAGGAATTCCTTGTAGTGATTCCCAGTGCTCTTCCTAGCAAACCCTCTAAACAAGCACCTATACAAATAACAGCAGCCTTCATGCAAGCAACTTACAGCAACCTTTTCTAGAGCACCCTCTCCATGAATTGTGCAAAACTTAACCTGCAGACTTCCTCCAGTAATTCTCCGTTGTGTATAAAAATCTTAATCTTCATGGTCTATGCAAATTTGTTGAAGCACACATTATGATTTACAGTGAGATCAGACTACTACTTAAACTGCTTTAATTTGATCTACCTTAAGCCTTTTTGATAAAAGAGGCCAAAAGCTTCTTGCCTACTAAAAAACAAAACAAGTCATCAATCATCCCCAAATAGAATACATTTTATTTGGGGAATCAGAGAGCAAAAAGCTGTTCTGGACTTGCAGTCTTTGAAGGAGTAAAAAGGTACTGAAACTACATGACAGAATAGATGGCAGCACCTATCAAGCTTTCTCCCCCCTGGCAAAGGGTTTATTTTTCAGGAAAACAAATTAGATTTCAGTTGAACATAAAAAGAAAACTTCCACCTTGAGGGCAATCAAACACTGGGAAGCAATTGCACAGAGAGGCTGTAAAGTCACAACCAAATTGTACAAGGATCTGAACAACCTGCTCCTGTCAGCCTTGCTTTGAGCCCGTGGTGCATTACATATCTGGAGGTGCCTTCTGCTTCACCCATTCTGCACAGACACAAAAACAAATCAGGAGTGCTTCATCTTTTTAGTGCTTGTGACAATCATATTAGCTTGCTCACTCGAAGATGAGGAGCCTTCCTGCCACACCAGTGCTATTTCAGTGTCAGCTTCTCTCAAACAACAAAGCCAAGACCAGAGCAAAAAGAAACAATCATATTAGCTTGCTCACTTGAAGATGAGGAGCCTTCCTGCCACACCAGTGCTATTTCAGTGTCAGCTACTTCACAATATCAAGTAACAACACAAGCGTTGGTTAAGAATCAGTTCAGCACAAAACATTATGATGTAATTACAGAAGCTAATTAGCTGGGAAAAAGACCAAGGTGTCCAACTACCAGAACTTAATTTTTAGGTAGGACAGAAGTTAACTTTAGTTAACTAAAGAGAAAACTGCAGCCCTAGGAAAGCAGGGTTTAACTTCAGAATTCATCTTTTCTAAGATAAGTCCGTCAAATATGGTCAATAGCTGTTTATAAAGCAAGATCCTCCATACAGTTTTTCATAGAGATGAAATAAAAACGTTCTAAGGGTAAGTATGAGTTAAGTCAAACAAGAAGATAAAACTGGAGTGCTAATAACACTGGTGTGAATGTAGCTACTAGGAAAGTCATATAGAAGGCTCCCTAACATCTCCTCCCATACAGCTGCACTAACACATGAATCAAACACCCCCACCCTATCTTACTCCATCAACTTTAGAGCATTCTTTCACTTAAATATAAGATTGAAGAGTAAAACTTATGATATGAAAATTATTTTGGAAAAAAATATTTTTAAGGTATTGTGGAAAAACATGGAATGGGATAGTTACTATAATACAGAATACTTAAAAAAATTTTGAGAGCAACATATCTGAAAGCTATAACTGAATACATCTATTATATTATATGAACATATCTGAATTATATATTATGAATATATCTGAATACATAGTTCATCTAAAGAACTGAAGAAGTACAGTCATGCTTTATGATATGATTTATTACAATTAATCTGCTAGAAGTACTTCAATATGAAGTAATACATCCACTTCTACTTTTCCACATGATTAAATTTGAACAGCAGTGTAGGAAAAGTACATGAAAAAAACCAATTTACAAATTTATCCACAAGACAAATTTCTATTTTGGTAGGTATAAGGATAAAATACACTTGAGTCTGTCTAGGAAGTAATTGTCTTTCTACAAAATGAAGCCATTCAGCTTCTCTCAGCCCCAAGTTAAAGATGTCACAATCTTTGACTATTTCTCCATCACTGATTATCACTAAGAATCCTGTGCTTCTCTTAACACAGTGGAATAGGGAGTAGAAGCATCTGTGTTTAAGACTCTGGTACTATCCCTGTTTGTCTATGCTGCAGAAACAAAATATTTCAAAGAATACAAACACAATCAAAGGAATGGCACTTTCAGTCCCTGCTGCATCAGCATTACCACCCATATACAAAACCACTGTCAATTCCCAAGTTATTTCCCTACTACCATAGAGGCACTATAAACCAGCTATTGCCTTTGCTGATGAAACATTGTGGTTGAAATGCAAGGCAGATAGTTTAAATAATACATGTAACATAACCTATCTCCATTCTATACCTCTAAATTGGAACAAGTTAATTATCCTTTCTTTGATGGGGCTAAGTTAAATAATTGCTTTACAAATCTTCAAATCAAAAGAGTTCTTTGGAAGATGATACAAGGCTCTGTACTGCAGTCAATGAACTCTGATCTACAAAAATCCTTCTTCAATTTACATCCCTAGACCTAAATACAGTTTCTGACATGTTTAAGCAGAAGGATTTAATCCTACGCATCCTCATTACTTTTTCCACAAAAGGCCATTTTTATACTTGAATTGGTGACACTTGATCCTGCTTCACCCAAAGGATTTTCATCTCAAGACCAGAATTTTAAGTAAATGTAAGTGGAACATGGGAAATGGGCAGGGTATAGAGAATGGGGATGAAATGACACACCAAGTCACCAGCTGAATAAAGAATTTCATTTGGCAAAAACTGAAGATCAACATAAGAAAAGGCAAATAGTCACTGATAACCAATTCATCCAATATTATTTTACTTCCATCTCTTTTACATCTAGATGTTTTAACAAAGCACTGAAAAACAGTAAGAGAAATTGGAGCGCCTCTGAAGCTTAAGCTAGTTAAGAGAGACAGTTATTTACAACAGAGGTGGAAACCAGAGGAGCAGAAGGCAGGTATGGTATTTATTACATTTAATTATATTTTGTTTTAATCAAGTACCTAAATGATACCTTAAATTATTCTCCCCCCTCATCCCACGGGGACTTGCTTTCCTAATGCTCCTCAAACCAAGTAGCGAAACCCCAGAATATACTAGCTGAACATTTAAATACTCTACTTGAAAAATACTACCATGATGCCACCTGGAAGCACTAGCATAAGTTTCTAGTATCTGTTTTCTCCTTAGATTAAACTCCTAGAACCATTTCTTCCTACCTGTAATTTGTTCCAGTATTATATCTGAGGCATTTGCTGTACTGTATCATAGGAATGGTCATCCCCCTAGAAAGGCCAGCCCATTGCTCTATCTGTCACTCAAACAGTTATTGTAAATGCTTCCAGGGAATTTAATGGTGAAGGAAATGCAGGCCACATCCCCTTAGTATGAAGTCGTTTCCAACTGCAATTCCATGCGATGCCACATGAAGGTGCCACGAGTCATTTCAAACCTAAACCTTCTGAAAAGTAAACACCATTTAGTAAAAAAGCTTTTTACTAAGCATTTGAATATCTCTGACCCTTGTGCTGGAGAAAAATGATAAACAGATTTCCCATCCTGAATGATTAGATCGTGCCATTCACTGAAGGAATATTATAGCCCAGCAGACTTAACTGAATTGATAACCTCCACAGAATCAAGAGTGTGCTGAGGTCCCTCTCTGTGGTGCTGCCCTCTGGCCTCTCATTCCCCAGTCTGCCCCTACATCAGAGTTGTCCCATTCCAGGTGCAGAATCTGGCACCTGCCCTTGCTGAATTTCATACAGTTGGTGATTGTCCATCTCCCTAATTTGTTAAGGTCCATATTACCCTCCATCAATCTATGAGGCCAGGATATCATCTTTCAAAACTAAAATGTATTAGTTATACTTTACTCCAGATGCCTGATACTTTTTCCCTACAGAGCAGTAGCTTTATACTGCCACTCATTTCCCATCAGGGCATGATGTTTCTTGTTTGCCACCTTGTTCAGTCATTGGTTTAGCAACTTGAAAATAGAGGCACCGTTTAATAACTGCAATGATTTTCTGGAGTACAGATCCCAGAACTGGAGCACAAAGTAGAAGTATACTCGTTAAAGTATGAAGTTTGCCTTCTTGAAGACTTTCAATTATATAAAGCCACTTTCCTGCCAAAACAGGAGCCCCCCAAGCTTGCAATTACTCAAGTCAAAAGATAAAACCCAAGAACCTGGTGAAATAAAAATACAGCTCCCTAACTGCAAAACTTGGCTAATTTTTCAGCATTTTACAAATGTCCAGCTTCTATTAAAATTAAGCAATGAGACT